TCCTTTAATGGTAAATTTTCAAGCTGGACAGAGGTGGCAAGTGGTGTCCCTCAGGGTTCTGTTCTGGGACCCCTTCTATTTAACATGTTTATAAATGATCTTGAAAAAAGCATTGAAAGTCATGTTTCAGTGTTTGCAGATGACAAACTCTGTAAAATAATACAATGTGAGCAAGAGTTACTTTGCTGCAGAGGGATTAAGATAGACTGGGGGACTGGGCACTCAAATGGCAGATGCAATTTAATGTTGAAAAATGCAAAGTTATGCACTTCGGCGTAAAGAATATATAAGCAACGAATACCGTTAATGGAAGTGAATTAGGCATAACCACACACGAAAAGGACTTGGGAATAGTTATAGACAACAAACTATGCAACAATGTGCAATGTCAATCAGCAGTGGCCAAGGCCAGTAAGGTATTGTCATGCATGAAAAAGGGCAATCATTCCCGGGATGAGAATATCATTTTGCCTCTTTATAAATCACTGGTAAGACCACATATTGAATATGCTGTGCAATTTTGGGCGCCTGTTCTAAAGAAGGATATTATGGCACTAGAAAAAGTGCAGAGGCGGGCTACAAAACTAATAAAAGGAATGGAACATATCGGCTATGAAGAAAGGTTAACAAATTTAAACCTATTTAGTTTAGAAAAACGTCGCCTGAGAGGGGATATGATAACATTATACAAATATATTCGGGGCCAATACAAACCATTGTGTGGAAATCTATTCACAAACCGGACTTTACATAGGACACGAGGTCATGCGTTTAGACTGGAAGAAAGAAGATTTCGTCTAAGGCAAAGGAAAGGTTTTTTTACTGTAAGAACAATAAGGATGTGGAATTCTCTGCCTGAAGAAGTGGTTTTATCAGAGTCCATACAGATGTTCAAACAGCTACTAGATACATACTTACAAAAACAAAATATTCAAGGATATAATCTTTCAATGTAGGGTAATAACTGCTTGATCCAAGGATAAATCTGACTGCCATTCTGGGGTCAAGAAGGATTTATTTTCTCTAGCTTGTTGCAAAATTGGAAGTGCTTCAAACGTTTTTTTTTGTTTTTTTTGCCTTCTTTTGGATCAACAGCAAAAAACATATGTGAGGAAGGCTGAACTTGATGGATGCAAGTCTCTTTTCAGCTATGTAACTATATATGCACGTTATTGGCAAAAAAATTTATTGGGTTATGTAAAAATGCCCCCAAAAAGAAGATGGGCAAAGAAGATATGTCAAATTTGAAAAACATATGTCAGAAGTTCGGCATTGTATCCCCTCCAAACAACCCAACAAACCTATGCATGGGTGTTATCACTGTACTCAGGAGATTTTGCTGAACACATATTGGGGTGCATGATGACCAGATGTGACATTTCCAAGTTGGAAAACTGGAATGTGCACCCTCCAAATAAGGTCTTTTAGACCCCAGAAATCCCGACACACCAGTACTCGGGAGATGTTGCTGAACACATATTGGGGTGTTTTTTGGCAGTAACCCTTAAAGTTCTCCGTACATGTATTCTTAAATGGCTATGTGTTTCAAAAAACCCCACCAATTATTATTTTTATATTTTAACTTGGCATAGATTGGTGGTAAAATGGTTGCATGAAAAGCGTTTAATACCTTAGGTTGTCTTCTTTTAAAAAATCTATACATGTGAAGGGTTATTCAGGGGTTTCTGACCGGTATCATTGTTACAATGTAACTTTTGTTAGTTTTGAAAAAAAATGGTTTGGAAATAGCAAAGTGGTTCTTATAGCCCTATAACTTGCAAAAAAAAAAAAAAGCTAAGACCATGTTAATGTTAGGAATTTCTAAACTCAGGACAAAATTTAGAAGCTATTTAGCACAGGTGTTTTTTGGTGGTTGTAGATGCGTAACAGATTTTGGGGGTCAAATTTAGAAAAAGTGTGTTTTAAAAAAAAAAAAAAAAATTTATAGTAAATTATATGATGTAAATAATGGTATCTTTAGAAAGACCATTTAATGGTGAGAAAAACGGTATATAATATGTGTAGGTACGGTAAATGAGTAAGAGGAAAATTATAGCTAAACACAAGCACCGCAGAAATGTAAAAACAGCCCTGGTCCTTAACGGTAAGAAAATTGAAAAAAACGGTCTGGTCACTAAGGGGTCAAAGGGACACTATATAGACACCAGAACAACGTTAGCTTAATGTAGTTGTTCTGGTGAGTGTAGTCAGTCTCTGCAGGCTTTTTAATGTAAACATCATCTTTTCATAGAAAAGGCAGTGTATACGTTGTAGCCTAGGAACACCTCTAGTGGCCACTATATATGCTTCCTGGGGCAGTGCTGCACAGATGCTGAGCTTTCCATAGAGATGCATTGATTGATTACATCTCTAAGAGTAGATGCTGATTGGCCAGGTCAGTTGTTTTACAAATAGCAAGCACATTAACAAGATTTTATCCATACATTGAACTAGTACTGCTTTATGTAATTTTACCATATCAATTTATTTTATTTTAATGCCCTGCATTCAACTGCATCTAAGGGTGGCATGTGAGGAGTGAATACAAGAATTGTCATCATTTTTATAGTGATTTTTTTTTTTAAATGTGACTTGTAGGCATTTAAAGGGGGAATCGAATAGCTTTCATATTCCCTGAATGTAGAGCATTTTTGCACAGTGGATGAGGATTGCTACTCCTTAACACTTCATACTTTTGATACAAAAACACATCAGTTTTTAAGTAATTTACACACACACGCAACCTTTGGCACTGCAGATGTTTTGTACTACACCTCCCATAATGCTTTGCCAGCATTATGGGGGATGTAGTCCACAACATATGGAGTGCTGAAGGTTGCCTACCCCTGAACTAGAGACTTGCATATATATACTTATCAGCCTCAACATTAAAGCCACTGACTTGAAGGTGAAGTGAATAACATTGGTTACATCGTTACAATAACACTTGCAAAGGGGTGGCATATGAACAGTCCGTTCTTGAATTTCATGTGTTGGAAGCAAGGAAAAATGGGGAAACGAAAAGATCTACCGTATATACTCGTGTATAAGTCGATCTCATGTATAAGTCGAGTGCAGTTTTATGACCAACAATTGTGAAATATGCTATGCCTCGTGGATAAGTCGAGGGTAAAACTTGGGGATATGAAATTCTGTGATTTTTATAATTATATACACACACTCATACAAACAAACACACTGCATTATATACACACACACTTATACAAACACACACTCTGCATTATACACACACATACTCTACATTATACTCACACACTCTGCATTATACACACACACACTCTACATTATACACACACACTCATACACACACTCTACATTATACTCATACACACACTCTGCATTACACACACTCATACACACTGCATTATACACACACACACTCATACACACACTCTGCATTATACATACACACACTCTGCATTATACACACACACACACTCATACAAACAATCTGCATTATACACACACACACTCATACAAAAACACACTGCATTATATACACACACACACACTCATACAAACAATCTGCATTATACACACACTCATACAAAAACACACTGCATTATATACACACACACACTCATACAAACAATCTGCATTATACATACACACACTGCATTATACACACACACACACACACACACAATCATACAAACAATCTGCATTATACACACACACTCACTGTATATAATGCAGTGTGTGTGTGTATACAATGCAGAGGGTGTGTTTGTGTGTGAACTGGGTGGGGGAGGGCATTTTTATTATTTTTAATTTTTTAATTTTAATATATTTTTTTTTTTTTATTTTAGTATTTTTTTTAATTTTATTATTTACTTTTTAATTTTAATATTTACATTTTTTTTATTGTAATATTATTTTTTATTATTTAATGTTTATTTTCATCCCCCCTCCCTGCTTGTTAGCTGGCCAGGGAGGGGGGCTCTCATTCACTGGTGGTCCAGTGGATGGGCTGTGTAGGAAGGGGGCTGGCAGAGAGCTGTTACTTACCTTTCCTGCAGCTCCTGTCAGCTCCCTTCTCCTCTGGTCCGGTCAGCTCCACTGCAAGTCTTGTGAGAGCCGCAGGGTCAGAGCATTGCCACGAGTTACCGTGGCAGCGCTCCGCGCGGCAGTCACACCGCGAGACTTACAGTGGAGGAGAAGGGAGCTGACAGGAGCTGCAGGAAGGTAAGTAACAGCTATCTGCCAGCCCCCAACAGGACCGCCGGGCTTGTAATGAGCCCGGCGGTCCTGGTCTGTATTATTGCCGAAATAATGTGCTGAAAAACTAGACTTATACTTGAGTATATATGGTAAGTGACTTTCACAAGGGACAAATAGCGATGGATAGACCAGTGGGTCAGAGCATGTCTAAAACGGCAAGTCTTGTGGGGTGTTTCTGGAAGTTATTCGTAAATATGGTGAGCTCTATAATGCAGGCTTTATAAGTGAATAACCCTTGGTAGAAATTGATTTACTAGATTCGGAAATTGCCCACTGTTATATACAAATGGAGGTAAAGATTAAAACTTATTTATTTCTTATATTTAAAATAAAGATAAAACATCTTTTGAATATCACACAGTAAGAAGGTACTATCGTGACAAAAAAAATTATATAGATTTGATAGACCCTATAATAAAAAAGAAAGAAAAGGAAAAGATCTATGTTTAGCTGTACTCTAGTTGGCCAAAGTTCTCTTATATTGGCAGGTAGCCAGACACTTTGTAAAAAAATGGCAACATATATATCTTCTAGTTGCTACTGTAAAAGAGTAACAAATTGTTATAGAGTAGATAGACAGTCCAAGGTAGTGTCCAGAGATGTAAGTAGCTGGTTAAACTAGAGTACCAAAGAGAAAAACATATATTAAATAGTCCATATAGTATTGACCTGAATGATATGAAGTTATCTAGGTATAGCTAATGGTGATATAGCAGAGGTTCTAAGCTGTGCCTTCATGGGCACCTTGTTTTATATCCGGTAGACCTAGTGACTATGCACCTATATCTCTAGCTGTCTGTTAAAGAGTAATTACCTATGCTGTGCCTTCAAGGGCACCTATTTCCTTTTTGAAATAAGTGTCTATGGTTCAGTATACTGAATATCTCTATCTGTAGACTGGTGATTACCTTATTCTGTGCCTTCAGGGGCACCTATCATGTAAATAAAGCTAAGCACCTAGAATGTAGGGAGCTCCTATCTTGATTGATATTCGGTAATACTGTCTCAGTATAACGATGGCTTCACTAAAGTATCGTATAAATAAGCCAATCAAAAGGGCAAAGTGTCGTCAGGGAGAGTTAAAAGAACTCTAAGTCTTTAGGATGCCGACGACGTAAGTAGTTTTCTGAGCCGAGCCCTGACGCGCGTTTCGCCAGACAGGCTCTTCAGGGTGAATGAGTGAGAATGGACTCATGAGCTGTTTTTTTAATATCAGATTGGAGGGTTCGGATTGGTTAACAGATTAGGGACAGTTAAATTCGCCAATGATGATAACCAAGGGGTGGGAGCAATGAGTTAATTTTATTAGCATATTTGTTTTGCACTCTAACCAATGGGAATGTTTATTCAGTCTGTGCGGCGAGAAAGAGGAGTTTTTAAAACCCTCAATTTTAAATGTGAATCGTACTTGTCATCATTAGCTAAGGTAATATTTTATGAAATATTAGACGATGTTATAATGTTGTATGTTGTTTTAAAAATTGTAAACCATTTATAAAATTATATAAATATCTAAGGAATTAAATCCTTTTGGTCGTTGTATTAAAGTCAGTCAAAAAGTGTTCCCTGGAATTTTTCGAACTTTTGAAATGAGCAGACTCCATGTCAGGGTATAATTTTAAGTATACTGTGTAAAGATAGATACTCAAAACAAAATTGGTCATGGGGATAGAAAATAAATTTAATTCTGTTTCTGGAAGTGGTTAGTACCTACCAAAAGTTGTGCAAGGAAGGACAATTGGTGAACTAGCGTTAGGGTCATGAATGCCTCGGGCTCATTGATGCACATAAGGAGCGAAGGCTAGGCTATCTAGTCCAGTCACACAGAAGAACTACTGTAGCTCAAATTGCTAACAAACTTAGTGTTGGTCATGATAGAGAGGTGTCAGAACACGCAGTGCATAGCAGTTTGCTGCTCATAGGGCTGCGTGGTCGCAGACCAGTCAGAGGGCTGACGATGACCCATGTCCATTGCTGAAAGTAGCTTCAATCCAGATGTTAACATTAGAACTGGACCACGGAGCAGAGGAAGAAGGTTGCCTGGTCTGATGAATCACATTTTTCTTTTAGATCAGGTCAGAGGCCATGTGGAAGTAACTTACCTAGCGAAGAGATGGCAGCAGGGTGTGCTAAGGGAAAGCTGGCAGAGGCAGTATTATGCTCTGGGCAATATTCTGCTGGGAAAGCTTATTCCTGGCATTCATGTGTAGGTTGTTTTGACAAGTACCATCTACTACCTCTTCAATTTCCCAACTTGACACAATTTCTTTAATCTTGTGTGTTATTCTGTATGTTTTACTTCTCCTTTCTGTGTTCGTATCTGTGCCTGCTGACCACTCTATGTATAATCTATGCTAAAATCAATCTGTCAGCTTTTTTTTCCCCATTCCTGGACGTATGCACTTAGAATTTCAAGGAGGGACCTCCGTTTACTAACAAATGGTTCCAGAAATTTTAGTTAAATGCTCCAGTGCCTTGAATCAATTGAAAAATTCACCTTGCCATAGTATCAAAGCATTTGAGCAGGCTTGCCAATTCCCTGTGTATGAAATTGTACTAGGCAGCATGTTAATAGATCACTATACCCCACTGCAGAATGCGAAGGGGTACATTTTACTAATGTAAGTAACACGGTACAAATACACACAGCACAACTTCAATCTTATATTGACTTGCCATGGAAAAAAGTTTTTTTTTTTTTTTTTTTTTTGGGGATAGACCGTTATTATAGTAATATATTCTGTGGGTTTGCAGCAGTGAATTAAAGTGACCCAATTTATTTTTCCAAACTGTGCTTCTTTCATAGAAGCCAAGGGTAAAACAAATTAGTTTAGAGGATAAAATGGTGTGTATCATATGTTGGTTGGCTTATTGTTTCTATTGTGCAAAATGACCAGTTTAAGTTCACCTGACAGGCAAATACAATATGGTGACACCTTAGGATGAACATGTATTTCTGACCCTATAGTGGTAAAGTCACTATATCTGTTCCATCTACCCTCCAAATATAGTAAAATCCTACTTTTATTTCAGTCTATAAGCACTGGCTCCACCCCCGATCAGCCTCCTTAGCTAACATCATCAAAAGTGATGATCTCAGCCACTCACAATGCTTTCCCATAGGAAAACATTTGGATTGGCTGTGATCGTCAATTCTAATGATCTCAGCCAAGGAGGGCGTGGGGCCAAACACTGCCCTGGCAAATTAGCATCTCTTCACAGAGGAGATTATTGAATCAATGCATCTCGATGAGGAAATTTCAGTGTCTCCATGAAGCACTGACCCAGGAAGCACCTCTAGTGGCCATCTGAGGAGTGGCCACTGGAGGTGTACCTAGGCAGCAATTTAATGAAATAGGAGCACTCACCATAGTTATGAAGTTTACTTTAATGAACCAATGTTTTTCTTTCTTGGTATTTTTTTCCATTCCTCAGTCTTAAAGCATTCAACTCTCTGTATCGTGTTTTCTAATTCGTTAATAGTTGCTTAAAAATTCTAATCAATGGATCATTTTAGTAAAGAGCACATCTAGCTAGCCAATGCAGATTAAAAACAAAATAAATAAAAATTAATGGTTTGAGTAACAATAGCGTGAAAATGAAACACTGTGCTGTACAGAGTTTGATCTACATTCATTCTGAAAAGATGTTGTTATGGTTTCATGGTTAAGGAGTTCTAACTTTTTTATTCTTTTCTCTCCACTGGGAACCCTTGTATGCAAAATACAGTAATCCCCTTTTTTTTCTGCTAGGTATTCAGCAATGGAACTGTTTTATCGAGTGAGAACAAGGAGCCTCCTCAAGCCAAATTCTTCCCCCCTCTCAGAAATGCGATGCTGCCTCCTGACACATTCAAAGGGAAAGTAGCTTTTATCACAGGAGGCGGCACGGGGCTTGGAAAAGGCATGACAACTGCTTTATCGAGGCTGGGTGCCGAGTGTGTTATCGCTAGCAGGTATGTATGGGCAATACTGCAGACATTGTGTGTGTGTGTGTGTGTGTGTGTGTGTGTTTTTAACCTTTTCTTACTTTCTTACAGTTTATTTGCTAAAGTGAGAATACAAATGGAATCTCAAATCTAACACCAAAGTAGCCAAACTGAAAGCAGAGTTGACTTTAATATTTTTTTTTTCAGTTTGACTATTTTGACACGAAACTTGAAATCCACTTTGAATTCTCATTTAAGTGAATATCCCCGATAGTTGAATTAATCTAGGGAATAGTTTCTTTACAGTTGCTTTTTTATGTCTATATTTTTTTTTTTTTTTTAGTAAAGTTCAATTATTTATTAAAAAGCAAATGTAGATTGCCATGAAGTCTGCAATTACAAACATTTGTGAAAAAATAGTCACAGAGCGTGGTCAGCAAGTGTTGAGGCACATGGTGCATAATAGTCACGAACGTTGTGCTGATTCCATAACTGAGTTTCAAACTTCCACTGGCACAGAGCTCGAGTCCTGCAGGAACGCATGGGAATGGCGTTCCTGCACTTTTTCCAAAGCAGGAACGCCGTTCCCGTTACCTGTCCTGCAGGACCGGCCCTGCTACCTGCACAGAGGGGCCAGCACACGCTGTGTTCCTTCTCCAGCTATAACTCTCGCGAGACCCGCGGCTGTTACCATGGCAACGCTCCGCACAGGCGAGTCTCGCGAGAGTTAGAGCTGGAGAGGGAACACAGCGTGTGATGGCCCCTCTGTGCAGCGGCTGGCTCCCTCCAGCATACCACCGGACCACCAGGCGATCTCCCCCCTCCCTGACAAGGTAAGAAGCAGGGAGGGGGGGATAAAATAAAATAAATATAGACACATAAAGTAAAAAAAAAATGCTTCCCCTCCCCATCATCCAGCACACATACACTCACACACCCATCATCCAGCACTCACACACACATCATCCAGCACTCACACACCCATCATCCAGCACACACACACCCATCATCCAGAACTCACACACACATCATCCAGAACTCACACACCCATCATCCAGCACACACACACACACATCATCCAGCACACACACACCCATCATCCAGCACTCACACACCCATCATCCAGCACACACTCACACACACATCATCCAGCACACACACACACCCATCATCCAGCACTCACACACCCATCATCCAGCACTCACACACCCATCATCCAGCACTCACTCACACATCATCCAGCACTCACACACACACATCATCCACTCACACACCCATCATCCAGCCTCACACATCATCCAGCAGCACTCACACACACATCATCCAGCACACACACACATCATCCAGCACTCACACACACATCATCCAGCACTCACACACACATCATCCAGCACTCACACACTCTTCATCCAGCACTCACACACTCTTCATCCAGCACTCACACACACGTCATCCAGCACTCACACACACGTCATCCAGCACTCACACACACGTCATCCAGCACTCACACACACGTCATCCAGCACACACACACATCATTCAGCACGCACACACACGTCATCCAGTGCGCACACACACGTCATCCAGCGCGCACACACACATCATCCAGCACACACTGCATTCATTATACACACTCTTCACTCACTACAAACACACTACACTCACTATACACTCACTACAAACACACTACATTCACTATACACCCTCTGCATTCACTATACACACTCTGCATTCATTATACACATTCTGCACTCACTACACACTATACACACTCTGCATTCACTACACACACTACATACACTTCACTACAAACACACTACATACACTGCATTCATTGTACACACTCTGCACTCACTACAAACACACTAAATTCATTATACACAATTTGCACTTACTACAAACACACTATATTCATTATACACACTCTGCACTCACTACAAACACACTATATTCATTATACACACTCTGCATTCATTATACACACTGCACTCACTACAAAAACACAACATTCACTATACACACACTGCATTCACTATACACACTGCACTCACTACAAACACACTACATTTATTATACACACTGCACTCACTACAAATACACTAAATTTTTTATACACACTGCACTCACTACAAATACACTACATTCATTATACACACTCTGCACTCACTACAAATACACTACAATTATTATTCACACTGCACTCACTACAAACACACTACATTTATTATTCATACTCTGCATTTACTACAAACACACTACATTCATTATACACACCCTGCACTGCACTATATGCATAGGAGTGTAATTTAAAAAAAAAAAAAAATTAGGGGGGGGGTGGGGGGGAGGCAGGAATCTTGGGTGAGTTCCCACACTTTTTTCCCCAGGACTTGACCCCTGCACTGGCATAAATATAAGGTGTTAAAGCCACAGGCTTTATAATGTAAACACTGCCTTTTCAGAGAATTCCTGCCTAATAAAACCTCTAGTGACGGCCACTAGAGGTTCCTCCTAGTCCACCTACATTCAATGTCTCCACTTTCTGCATCGATTGATTTAAGGCATCTCTATGAGGGGATGCTGATTGGCGCAACAATGTGTTTAGCCATGCAATGCTTTCCTATGAGAAAGCATTAGATTGGCTGAGATCATCATGACTGATTATCTCCGCCATGCAGGTGAGGCCAGCTGCAGAGAGACCAACACGGCATGGCGGAAAGAAATTAGTAAAAACACCTTTCCCAGGCAATTGGAGGAGGGCCGGTAACCTCACTTACAGGCACGCTCACAAACTCCCTGACAGAGAAACACATGAGGGAGCAGAGAAAGAAGATTACTTAGGTGGCCTAGGCCTACTACCAGGAGGAGTAAGAAATAATATATATAGTGAGGACCCCGCGATCACATGGCCCGGGGGAGGGAGGGGCGGATCGGGCAAAGGGGTTCTCCTGAGCTCCCTGGCAGACCCCAGGACCGTGACCCGCAGGGACCCAGTAAGTACAAAGGACGGCAGGGACGTTCTATGCTGCCCACCGGCATTTAGGACCGCCTTAAAAAAGGACGGAATAGCCGGCTTATGCAGTGCCTCTCCCTGTCATGCCTGTAAAAAAGTTAGTAAAAGTTATTAAACAGTTTTAAAATTAAATAGTATTTAGATTATATATATATATATATATATATATATATATATATATATATATATATATATATATATATATATATATATATATATATGTGTATAGTCATTCTAAGTGTATTTTAATATATATATATTAAAATACACTTAGAATGACTATACATATATATATATATATATATACACGTTTATTAATGATGTGTATATATAAAAGTACTTAGATTATATATATATATATATATATATATATATATTGCCTGATTGGTTAAGTTGCCTTTGAGACCGTATGGTAGCCCAAGAATGAGGATTACCCTCAAGATGGCATACCATTTACAAAAGCAGACAACCCATGGTATAATGCAAATGGGGTATGTCCAGTTTTTTTTAGTAGCCACTTGGTCACAAACACTGGCCAAAATTAGCGTTTAATTTATTTTTTTTGCATTTTTCACAAACAATCAAATATAACTTTTGCCAGTATTTGTGACTAAGGCAAATTTCAATGTGTATAAACTGAAAAATTTAATGTGCTATATTTGATCCGATAACTTTCCAAAACACCATAAAACCTGCACATTGGTTTTTATGGTTATTACAGCTAACAGTATTGTGAGATTCACAGTTAAAATGCCATGCAGAACTGAAAAAAAAAAACCTCTTAATTTCTCATTTTAAAAAAAATATATATTTTATTCATATTAAATTATGGTTAATACAAATATTTCATGTGACATGAAAGCCTTGTTTCTCCTCAACAAAATGATATATAAGTGTTAGTTTTTTAAAGTTTTTTTTTGTTTGTTTGTTTGTTTTTATTTTTATTTTTATTTTATCACAACTTGTACAGTTGGTTCAGTCCTTAACCCCTTAAGGACACATGACATGTGTGACATGTCATTATTCCCTTTTATTCCAGAAGTTTGGTCCTTAAGGGGTTAAGGGGTTAATGTTGTTTTGACCATTTTCTTCAAATAAATGCTAAAAATGACAATATTTTTATATTATTATTATTATTATTATTATTATAATATTATTTTCTTTGCATATTGGAGAAATGTTGTCAGTAGTTTTTAGAAAATACAAATGTTCATTATACTCTAACACATACCTATAAATACCAGAAACTGATAATGCTGTCTTTTTTTTTTCTGAGCTGTGTATATGTTTGTGTGTATATAATATTATTTTTATTTATACTAGGGCTAGTTATAAGTGGCCGATTCTTTGCACAGTGTTAGTCACACCATGCAATAATTTTTGTGGTTTTGAGTTTGTTTTGTTTGTGTTTGCTATTTTTCCTCTGTCACTCACTTTGTGTATGAATGTGATCTTCCCATCAAACTATGCACATTAAAGAGTGTTTATTAGCATGTAAAAATCTTTTCTAATTTCAGAAAATTGGATGTCTTGGAGAAAACTGCAAGTGAAATCACATCTGAAACTGGAAATAAGGTAATTTGTAGACTTCTGTATTTAGTTTCAAATGAATTTCAATTAGCCTGAATTTGGGGAAATAGGCGGTTCTTTCAAATTCCGTAAACAATATATGGACGAATAGTGAAACGGACAATGGATGAACACTGGTTTGTGATTCAGAGTTCCGTTTATAAGGCCAAAAAAAAGTGATGGGGAAAAGATGATTGCTAGTTAGAGGACACCCACTAAATGGTTTATTTACAGATTAAGTGAGATGTAACCAACAGAGGGGGAAAGAAGGAGGAGCAGTAAAAAGGAATTTAAAAAAATAATATATATTTAATTGAACAAAATATCTAGTAAATATAAAGTGTATAAATATAGACTTATTTTTTTTCCCTCCGCTGTACCAGCTTTTTTTGCTTTTCTTAAGTCTAGTAATTTTTTGTGCATAATTGTTTGTTTTGCAAATTTGTAAGTCTTTTATTTAAAGTGCATTATAAATTGAAAACAAATTACAGAATGGAAGGAAAACTAGCCACATTTTAAACCAAGTCAGTCTAGTTTATTGTCTTTGAGGACCCCTTAATATGCTTTTGAGCCATGCATACATGCATAATTATACCAAATCCACAGAATGCAATGCTTGTGATTTTTAAATAATACTATTTGTATTTTTTTTTTTTTTTTTTAATCTGGTGCAATAAGCTATAGAATTATAATCTATTGCTAATGCTTAATTGGAATTCATTTTTTAAAAAACATGATATGTTTATAATGTTCTCAGGTTCATCCTGTGCAGTGTGATGTTCGAGACCCAGATTCTGTTAAGAAGGCTGTGACTGAGTTAATCCGAGTGGCCGGGCATCCCAATGTAAGTATGCTCTCTGACTGAAATACTGCACTGTACAGTGTGCATTGCTGCAGAATTATCTGCTTTTCTGAAAGGAGAGGGGAAAACCAAATTTAAAAAAATAAATTTAAAAAAAAAGTGTATATGTGTGTGTGTGTGTGTGTGTGTGTGTGTGTGTATATGTATGTATGTGTATATATATATATATATATAATTTTATATAAAATACAATGTTAAACAAAAATCTGCACACCAGTCAAGCCATAAGACTTGCTTTTCCCACAGAAATCCCAAAACTGCAGCAATGTTACAACCGCCAAGGATTCTGGGTGGGCATATGCAAATTAGTTTAACAAAGAATCACATTTTTGCCTCATTCCATTTTAAACATAGATTCATTTTAATCTGTGTTTGCTGTATACAACAGCTTGAAACACAATATAGGAAAAGATGCAAAACCAGTGAACCACTCATGGACAGCTGTTTTGTTGTTAATGCAACTCATCAGCATGAGGTTGGTTACTGGTTTGCTTATTGAGGCTTGGTAGTGCTTGGGAAGTAGGTTATGGTGGGGAAAAATTGTGATTGAAAACTCCTTCCACCTGAAGTCTGTGGATAATTAATACAATGTAAAACAAAAATCTGCACACCAGTCAAGCCATAAGACTTGCTTTTTCCTCCCACAACTACAGTGATGTTACAACCGCAAAGGATTCTGTGTGGACATATGCAAATTAGTTTGTTAAACTAATTTGCATATGCCCACCCATAATCCTTTGCGGTTGTACCATCGCTGCAGTTTTCTGGGTGGGCATAGGCAAATTAGGGTGGGCACCCAGGCAAGGACAAGACCAGAAGAGTGCTGGATCCACGTGATATATATTTTTTATTTTAATGGTGTTTCTTTTAGATTCAAATGCTCCCCCCCCCCCAAACGCTCAAATTGTTCTAGTTATTCTCTATTTTTAAGAGCTCATTTTAGATTTATTTTGCAGTGTAACGCAGGAAAACCTTAAGAGAAGTCAAGTGTTCAAAAGTCAATATAATTCTGCTAAACTGTCCTTAACATGGAGCTTAGTTCCTGCAAAAACATGAAAAAGTCGCACTCAGGAATTGCAGTAAATCCGTTATTGGTCTAAACTTGAGTTGTGACAAAGAGGAATGTCAGCATTTACTCACAGGCAATGTTTTTATTGTGAATGCTAGAATGTTTACCATGTTACTTGAAGCCTTATGTCTACAAAGGACAACCCAGTGTTCATTCTATGTCATATCTATTTAGATCTGAGGATCTAAAGATTTTGTCCCTCTAAGCTGAATCAGATACATCATCCATATTTTAGCCTAGTATATTCATGCCTTTAATGCATTCCTTTTAATGTCATGTTCAGATTTCACTATTAATGACCTGTTCGGATGCTTAATAATCGCAAGCGTACATTTTTCTTTTTAATGTGCCTAATGGACTATTCTTTTAAAATCCCAGCTTGAATTTTCTGTAAACTATATAATAAGAAGCGTACGAAAAACATGGGCATTTATCAAATGTATTTCAAATACTAATTGGCATATATTTTTTACCCAGCATGTCTAACATAACCTTTTTCTATCAAACATTTGGTACAGATCCGGTTATATACCATCAGGCCTTCGTCTTAATGACTATAATGATTGTATTATTACATAGAGCTTCACTGTCATTACACTGGATGAAAGCAGGAGTCTGTTAATTATACTAGAACGAGATGTTCATCAAGGAAGCCTTTATATCTGATCAGACAACCGGTCTCTTCCAACTTTGAGGGTTTATTCACTATACAGTGAAATGACAAGTTAAACGATTTGGGTCATGTCATGTCAAAACTTTACAACTCCATTGTTGTCTTGCTATAATTCACTGAATAATTCCTTTGGGATACAGTCCGTAACATGAGCAGTACAAAGGTGCTTTGTTCAATAAGGAACACTAGTTACTTTCTCACCATCAAACATTGCCATCCATGCTTTGAGCTAGTGTGAGCTTTGTATAGGCATAATACAGAAACTATATAAAATGAGTACATCTTGGCATTAACGGTGCAATTTTTAAGTACATGTTAATAGGTTTGAGGAACAGAACCTTGAGATGGGGGGGAGGGGAACGGTTTTCTTACACGATCAACATAGTGCTTCAATAACTTTTAGTCCTATAATTTAGGTAACGGCTAACCGTAAAAATAAGAGACCGTGTAAAACATGCAAGGCCTGTTTCTAAGACCAGTGCTTATCTACAAGTACCATCTTTTATACTGGACTGATTAAGTAGTTTATACATTTTTTCATTTGTAAAAAATTTAATTGGGGAAAAAAAAAAAAAAAAGACTTGAACGGACCTGAGCTGCAGCAGACCGGTCCCTTTTCTGAAGTTGGGGTTTGCATTGAATAAGTAGAACCACTCGGTAAGATGATAGGATATGTAGCTACTATAAGGTCATACACATACTGATTCACAGCTTTGTTAGTTGGCTTTGTGCAGTGATCTCTCGATCCACCAACTGTGCACATGTGCAGCCACTGCTCTTGTTATCTGCAGACACAAGAGGAAGAGATGGCTGTCAAAGTTGTACGCCACACACACATACATGCTGGATGGAGATTTACGCTAAGGGAGGAAGCAGCAGCCATGTGGCTTTGGGACGGTAGGTAGTGAAGAGGGTATTCTATGTACAATAAGATTTGTTCTTTGTATTAAATTAGTCAGAGTGTTCGTGTCATAGATTTAATTTGATATTTTATTTTATGTTTTGTAGCTTACATCTCTATATGACGCAAATCAGTTGCTTGATTAATTAAAACATTTTTTATTAACCTCCTTAATTTTGAAATATGCCGGGGATTATATGGCATTCAAGGTACTGAACAAGATGGTTACGGTAGGTTTTGTCACAGATAACGTATTAAACTAACTGCTTATCTTGTTTGGTCCTTGCTAAGGACAGGTGGAAAATCTGTTTCCTCTTCCTGCAGGAGGCAAGAAATCACACTATGTTCATGTATTGCTGCAAGAATGAAAAAGAAAAAAAAAATACAAAACACTGCAGTGACACATCCCTGATTTGCTTTGTTTTTACAGTTTTGCAAATGTTTCCTGTCCATGCAAAAACAATTTGCATTCAGGTGTACTTTGAGTTCTCATTCAGGAGCTCAGGTTTTTTTTTTATGCGTGTTAAAGACCCCAGTGTGTTTATATGAAGATGTTGCTAGGTCCCGAGGACTATCTTTGAAATGCAGTCACTAAAATTTGATTGGCAAGTTTGACATTGTTAAACACACAGCACTTGCAAGTGTATTCCGTACGCGTAATATAGAACACTGGAGAAGTCATTTTCTTCATTCATCTTTGCTAGGATCAAATGCAGATACGTTCATTTGCAGCCCTTGTTCTCTTTTAATGACCTGGATGGAAGAGATGGCCCTTTAAATGAGGCAAGCATTGCAGCTGCCTGGGTTATGCTTCAAAGTCCCTTTTCATGTGTAAACCAACTAATGTTGTTCAGCCCCATCATTGTTAAATATCCCTTTAATTTTTTTTAACATATTTGTTTTTTATTGCTTTTTAACAAGGAATTCCACATTAACCCCTTAAGGGGTCATGATTTACTTTTATTCCAGAAGTTTGGTCTTTAGGGGGTTAACAATGTACATTACAAGGTGATTTGCTTAAATTACAGCCATTAACTGGGACAACACACATTACAAGTCTTGCAATTGCACATACAATGTTTATTACATATGTCCGTGTCAGTTTACAACTCCTCATGTCGCTAGTTGATATGTACTGAGTCACCTCCTGTGACTGATTCTAGCCATCCGTTATTTCTTGGTACCTGTGTTTGCCTAGCTTGTGGCATAACTATTGCCAGTCCCTAATTGGTCAGCGTGTGTGGAATACGGGGAAAAACCTGGGGAACGAAATATCCCTTTATTTTAATGGTCATGTTCAAATAGCCTGTTTGTGCTATCCTTTTATTTATTTGTTTAGATATTTTGTAATTTATTCTGTACATATTCTGCAGTATTATTGGGTAAATAGCAAATATACAGCCCAAGAGCAACAGTCAGAGAATAGGATATAAAAGGAAAGAGAAACTGAACACTTTCCTGACTCTATCAAATGATCACCCCATGGTAATTGGTCATTTTTGGGCTATATTGCACCCGCTACCCCTACATGTGAATGAAAGGAAAGTTTACTCACATATAATGCCCCGACAAGGCATTTTAATGTTCTCTATAAAACATGCAGTAATTATACACAGAGCGACCAGCGAATACTTCTCAATTTTCAACAAGGCATAGTACTCCTGAAAATCTTACTGGGTAATAGGTGCACAAATGCACGTTAAGATGTCTGCACAGAAACTGCCTTTTGTTTTGACAAAGCTTCTATAAGGATCACTAATGCAAACATCAAAGAAAAGCAATTACAAACCATTTATACAACCTGATTTCTTAAAGGAATCCCCCCTCCCAAATATAATTATTCAAGACCTTTTAGAATGGGGTCTCCTGGTACACTGCAGGGGTTATGGTGCTTGGAGTGTTGGGTTGAATGGCGATTGGACTGCAGCTCTGCAGGAACTGGAATTGTGTTACCAGACGGAACCCAGTGGAGACCCAGTAAGGAGGGCAAACCATTACTAAACGGTGTGCCTCATTAGCTGGGACCTGGACCAGCTATTCCTGGCTTAATATCCATTATAGTGCACTATAGTGATTATGATGCTTGGAGTATCTTTTCATGCACATTATTGAAATCTTTAGAATTTAGAAAGAATTCTTCTTTCTAGTGGGTTGAGGAAATATGAGAACCACTTTTTTATCCTGCAAAATTGCTTTATTTTAGTTCATTGTTGGTATGGAAAAGTCTTAAATACATGTATAGATAGAATCAATGAGTGCTTTAGACCATTTCGGTAGAAAGAAAGCATAAATTATTTTCCTCTCTTCCCTCCCCCTTCCCCCCTCCCCCCCCCCCTCCGACTTTGCATAGGACTCCCTGTCCTGACCTTCAGATCTCTTGATCACATTTCCAACCTTACCCCTTATTGGATACCTCTGCTTAGATTGTCTTATTAAAGGCCCTGTGCCAACACAGACCCATTAGTGCCCTGTATTCATTTTCAGTTCATCCCTGAGGGTCATGATGATAAGGGAGTGCTGTTCAACTGCAACTTAGTTCCTAACCACTTGTATAACCCAGTGGGTTGTCACAATCTACGCCCGAAAGAATCATTCCAACATGTAATCCTGGTGTTTGGAAATAGATTAACAGGAATTGTATTAATTCATTGTGGGTGAAATTATTTGTGCAAGTCTAGAAAGCACCACCAAGTGATTTTTCTTGCAAATCTTTTATTTGGATTATCACTACAGGCCAGCTGCTTTGAGTACATGTATTCCAAAAAATTGATTCAGTAAAAATACTAATTGTGAATCATGGTAAGTACTGGCAGATGTTTCGATAAAAAAAAAAAAAAAAATGATCATTGTGGTTTGTGACCAGTTACTGAGCCACCCAACATTGGGAACCTGCATAATTAACTTTATTTATTTATATCTCCACTGGTGATTCTATTGCAAACATTAGTTTGCACTATTTAACTAAATGTATTGATGTGATCCTAATGTGGTAATAGGCAATTACATTGTTACTGTTCTGTTAAAGTTAATTAGGGATTAACTACTCATTAGTACTTAAGGCATTAATTGCCTCTAACCTGACTGATTTTAGTAAGTTACAACTGGAGAATCATTTAGCTTCAAATGAAATGTTCTGTGTTATCAACCTGTGATTTCTGTAATTTATCGTATACTCCTCAATGACAGCCATTTGCTTGTTATGGAAGTTTTAGGTTGGGCTTGACAAATTTGTTTAGAATATAGGAGCCAGTTTTTAAAAAAAACTAATTTTAAGTTTAAAAGCAAATGCAATTCTAAATGGACATTATAGGACCACTGCAGTTTAATGTAGTTCTGGTGGCTATAGCCTGTACCTGCAGACCTTTCAATGTAAACACTGCCTCTTCAGAGTTAACAATACCTTTCAAATGTGATTGAAGGGGGACCAGTACCAACACAGACACTGACAGAGTCAGAAACACACTTTCATCCATACACACCCACACACACAGATTATTTTAATTAAAATTCACCCAGCTTCCCTACCTTTGGGAGAGCTGAGTGGCTCTCTCCCTGGGGTCCAGTGGAGCTGCTCTCTCTTCCTGCGTGCGAGGGAGCAGTAATCTACCAACAGCTCCTCTCTGCTCCCTTGCTCTCTTTGTTGATGCCGGGGCCGGAATGACATCATATTCCGGCTTCTGGCATCATTAAACCGCGTGCGAGGGAGCAGAGAGGAGCTGCAGGTATATTACTCCTTTCTTGCGCATCGCCTACAGTGCTCCAGCAGGCGGCTCCTAAGCCACCGCGGGCAGCCGCCTTCATGGGCTGACATCCCAGGCGCCAGAACAAAATTTCTAGTGCATTCGTGTGTGTGTATATACCCAAGAGGGCTGCACTCACCTCAAGATGCAGACATTATAAGGGTGCTGCTGGGGCCAATTCAATTTCCCTTGAAATAATCACTTTTATAAAATAAGCCGGCAAGGACCAGCAATTAACATCTAACGCACTTCAGCAAGCTGAATTTTAACATTACTTGTATCTAAACACCATATAAGAATGTCATCCCTGTTACTCCAGCTCTACCTCTCTGCGTTGCCAGCCGCTACATCATTTGACTCTTAAAGGACCACTACAGTGACCCAGACCACTGGGTCTGGGTGCCAGGTCCCTCTAGTTTTAACCCCACAGCTGAAAACATAGCAGTTTCATAATGTAAAGTCATGATTTTATTAGTGATAGGGAGTATTATGCTGCACTCTTTCTTTATTTCCCTCAGCAGCAAAGAAAAACTTTAACATTGAAATTAACAATGGAAACAGTCAGTAACATATATCTTCCATGGCAACCAGCAGCCAGTCAGGTCCCACTCTCCAGCATAATAGGCGGTGTTCACTAAACTATTTCCTTTTTCTTGGGATCCCGAATACGGACAACCATCCAACCAAGAAAGGAACTCCAATAAGAGGATAATGCCAACAACAAACGGGTTTCCAAGTCAAGCTGTAAGATAGAGTAGAATATAGTTATAGTTATAGTTAAATAGCTGAAAAGAGACTTGCGTCCATCAAGTTCAGCCTTCCTCACATTTGTTTTTTGCGGTTGATCCAAAAGAAGGCAAAAAAACCCAGTTTGAAGCACAATTTTGCAACAAGCTAGGAAAAAAATTCCTTCTTGACCCCAGAATGGCAGTCAGATTTATCCTTGGATCAAGCAGTTATTACCCTACATTGAAAGATTATATCCTTGAATATTCTGTTCTTGCAAGTATGCATCTAGTAGCCGTTTGAACATCTGTATGGACTCTGATAAAACCACTTCCCCAGGCAGAGAATTCCACATCCTGATTGTTCTTACAGTAAAAAAACCTTTCCTTTGCCTTAGGCGAAATCTTCTTTCTTCCAGTCTAAATGCATGGCCTCGTGTCCTATGTAAAGTCCGGTTTGTGAATAGATTTCCACACAATGGTTTGTATTGGCCCCGAATATATTTGTATAATGTTATCATATCCTCTCTCAGGCGACGTTTTTCTAAACTAAATAGGTTTAAATTTGTTAACCTTTCTTCATAGCCGATATGTTCCATTCCTTTTATTAATTTTGTAGCCCGCCTCTGCACTTTTCTAGTGCCATAATATCCTTCTTTAGAACAGGTGCCCAAAATTGCACAGCATATTCAATATGGGGTCTTACCAGTGATTTATAAAGAAGCAAAATTATATTCTTGTCCCGAGAATGAATGCCCTTTTTCATGCATGACAATACCTTACTGGCCTTGGCCACTACTGATTGACATTGCACATTGTTGCATAGTTTGTTGTCTATAACAATTCCCAAGTCCTTTTCATGTGTTGTTATCCCTAATTCCCTTCCATTAAGGGTATACGTTGCTTGTGTATTCTTTACGCCGAAGTGCATAACTTTTTGCATTTTTCAACATTAAATTTCATCTGCCATTTGAGTGCCCAGTCCCCCAGTCTATCTAAATCCCTCTGCAGCAAAGTAATATCTTGCTCACATTGTATTATTTTACAAAGTTTTGTGTCATCTGCAAACACTGAAACATGACTTTCAATGCTGTCTTCAAGATCATTTATAAACATGTTAAATAGAAGGGGTCCCAGAACAGACCCCTGAGGGACACCACTTACCACCTCTGTCCAGCTTGAAAATTTACCATTAATGACAACTCTTTGTACTCTGTTTTTAAGCCAATGTTCTACCCAAGAACATGCATTTTCATCTAGACCGATTTCCTTGAGTTTGAACACTAATCTATTGTGTGGAACTGTATCAAATGCCTTGGCAAAATCCAAAAAGATCACATCCACAGCAACACCCTGATCTATACTTCTACTTACTTCTTCGTAGAACACAATCAAGTTAGTTTGACATGACCTGTGCTTCATAAAACCATGCTGATTTTTGCTGATAACCATGTTCTTCTCAAGGAATTCTTGAATATTATCCCTTAATAACCTTTCAAATATTTTACCAGCCACAGAAGTTAAGCTCACAGGTCTATAATTTCCAGGCAAGGATTTTGAACACTTTTTGAATATAGGAACCACATCTGCCTTCCTCCAATCCTCCGGAACACTTCCTGAAAGAAAAGAATCTTGAAAGATTAAAAACAGAGGTTTACTTATTTCTGCACTTAGTTCCTTAAGTACACGTGGATGGATACCGTCAGGCCCTGGAGCTTTGTTTATATTAACTTTCTTTAGTTGCTGCAGCACCTTGTTAACCAATTACAATTATTCTGCAAGTTTTTAGTAGCAATCATTTGCACATCTATTGCCATGGGTTCTTCCTTAATATATACGGAGGAGAAAAAGTTATTTAAAATTCCTGCCTTTTTCTGGTCTTCATTAATTAACACCCCCGTTTCAGTTTTTAGTGTACCTACACTTTCATTTTGTTTTGTTTTTTAGAATTTATGTACTTAAATGCTTTGGGGTTGGTTTTGCTCTCTTCAGCTATCATTATTTCATTTTGAAGTTTAGCAAGTCTAATTGCCTTTTTGCACGCATTATTTGCATCCTTATATCTTTTATAAGATGCATCTGATTTGTCCGATTTAAATGCTTTAAATGCCATTCTCTTAGTTGTAATCTCTTGTTTTACTTCTCTACTAAGCCATGTTGGTTTTATATTTATTTCCCAATGGTACATACTGAGAAATGTAGCTTTGTAATATTTGTTGGAAGATGATCCATTTATCCTCAGTGTTCTTTTCACTAAAGAGTTTATGCCAGTCAATATATTGTAAAGCTTCCCTTAACTTATTGAAATTGGCCTTTTTAAAATTATATGTTTTGGTATTCCCCATGTGCTTTTGTTTTTTTGAGTTTATTTCAAAGGACACTATATTGTGATCACTATTTCCCAAGTGCTCACCTACTTGAATGTTGGTCAAAAGATCAACGTTGTTTGTTAAAACCAGGTCAAGACAAGCATCCATTCTAGTTGGTGCTTGCACAAGTTGTGACATGAAGGTGTCATTTAACAAGTTTAAAAACCTAATTCCTTTTGCTGAGGCACTAGTCCCTCTGTCCCAATTTATATCCGGGTAATTAAAATCTCCAATAATTAAAGTGTTACCCAGATTTGCAGCTTTCTCAATTTGCTCAAACAGCTGTTGTTCCTCGTCAATATTAACATTAGGTGGTTTATAACATATCCCAACCAATAGTTGGTTTCCCTTCTTTTCCCCCAAGCAGATATTTACCATAAAGCTTCCACATTATCCTCCTTGCATTCCATTTGCTTAACATTTGGCTTTAAATCATGTTTGACATACAAACATACCCCACCACCCTTCTTGTTTTTCCTATCCTTCCTAAATAACATGTACCCATTTAAGTTAGCTGCCCAGTCATGTGTCTCATCCCACCATGTTTCAGTTATGCCTATTCTATCATATTGTTTAGTGTATGCTAATGCCTCTAGTTCCCCCATTTTGTTATTTAGGCTCCTTGCATTAGTAAGCATACATTTAATATTATGCGTCACTTGTATATTTTGTGAATTTTCAACATTACACAGCTTCTCTGTTCTGAGCTTGCCCCTCCCCCCGTTTCCACCCCCCTTGTACTGTGCTAAAGCCCATCTCCTTTCTGTCCTATCTCCATTTTGTAGATTGCTATGAACCTCCCCCCCTACTACTAGTTTAAAATCTCCTCCAACCTTCTAGCCATCCTATACCCCAGCACTGCAGACCCTCTCCCATTTAGGTGCAATCCATCACCACTATAAAGGTTGTACCCAATCGCAAAGTCGGCCCAGTGCTCTAAAAACCCAAAACCCTCCTTCCTGCACCAAGATTTAAGCCACGCATTGACCTCTCTAATCTCCCGCTGCCTTTCCACTGTAGCACGTGGCACAGGTAATATCTCAGAGAATACCACCTTGGAGGTCCTTTTCTTAAGTTTGCTACCTAATTTCCTGAAATCATTCTTTAGGACCTTCCATCTTCCTCTTACTTTGTCATTGGTACCAACATGGACCATGACCGCTGGGTCATCCCCAGCCCCTCCCAATAATCCATCCACTCTGTCAGCAACATGCCGGACCCAAGCACCCGGGAGACAACAAACTGTCCGGTTGAGCCGATCAGAGTGGCAGATTGCCCTATCTGCTCTCCTAATGATAGAGTCCCCTACCACCACAACTTGTCTTGCCTTCCTTACATTTTGATCCCCACCCGTACTAGGGGGGCTGTTAGCTCGGCTGTTAGAAGTAACAGCTTCCTCTAATACAGCTACTTCTGAGCTGATGCTCCCAACATCTTCCCTCAAGCGGGCAAATCTGCTAGGTTGCACCAAATCAGGACTAGCTAGCCCTTTCCTCTTCCCTCCCCCCCTGCTTCCTCGCCCCACTGTCACCCAGCTACATGCCTGTTCCCCATCTGTCTTATCTCCTCCCTCTCCACTACCTGTCCCCACTAAACTCTGCTCAGTGAGCAGTAGACTCCTCTCAAGATTGTCAATCTCCCTCAATGTTGCGATTTGCTTCTCGAGATCTCCAATCTGAGCTTCCAGAGAAGCCACTCGCACACAACCATCACAGAGGTATGGACCCTGGACGGGTACATCCAGGCATCCATACATGCAACAAGATGTGCATTGAGTTAAACCAGCAATCTTGCTAACACTCATTTCCCCTTTAAACAGTAAATAAAAACAATTACCTTGATAGTTTGAACCCCTTGCTTGTTTTAACTCCTGTTTTTCTAACTCCTACTTGAAAGAGTCTACTTAATAGAGGCTGCTTTCAAATAATGTGAGAATATGATAATATTTAAGTATAAAACTGGATTCATGCATAAAATAACATTGTGTAAATGAATAGGCAATATCCGATTTAAAATAGTATTCAGTCGACATATTGTTGGAGATGAATACAGACATGAGAAGTTCGAACCTAAATCACCTTCATATTGAACAAGCTCGAATCAAAGAAACTTACCGTATGTAACTTACCCAGATTACACCACCATCCAGGGAAGGATGGGAGGGATAATACTCGCCTCCGTGTTGTTAATAAAATCATGACTTTACGTCATGTAAATAACAAAATCTGGTAATTTTAATAAGACACGGAGGCTCTTATTATGCTGGTTTAAAGCTGTGAAAAAAACGTTCCAGCAAAATGTTGAATCTGCTTAAAATAAAAATCTTGAAATGTAGATTCCGATGTCCAGTCAGCAGCTCGTAAAATATTATCTAGTCGGCATCCTACCGCAGAAGCTTTAGAGGCCATAACTCCTCTAGAATGTGGAGAGAATACGGAAGTATCAATGCCGGCCAATGTCATAATCCATTTGACCCATCTGGCCAGAGAAGGAGAGGATACTGGAAAGTGTGGTTTGCGGAAAGAGATGAATATTTGAGGTCTCATAGGATTCCGGAGTGACGCTGTACGGAGTTCGTATTCCCGTAGACATGCCACTGGGAAAAGGAGAGTCTTCTCTGGAAATGCTGGGTAGAGTACGGACTTTGAAGAGGTCTTGGTCCTACTAGAAATGTCAAAGAGGACGCCTTCTGGTGTAAAGGAACGAACGTCTGTGTCAAGAGCTCGTACATCAGAGACTCTTTTGCATGAGATGATGCAGAAAAGCATGACTAATTTAGCGAAAGTTGTTTGATGGATAACTAAACATTCTCCGGCCATGACTCTAGAAAATGGAGGACAAGAGTAACATCCCAGAGTGAAGAATAACGAGGTAACAGAGGGCGAGAAAAACTTACTACGCGTAGTAGATGACAAACGGATGTCGTCCGATGGGGACACCATTGATGTCCAGCGCAAAGCGCGAATGGTAAAGTTTAACGGAAGTTAACAATGCAAGATGGATGTCAAAGTAGCCGATAAGAGATCCAGATTTCTTTCCAAGCACCAACCATTCCATGCATTCCAAGCAGATTTATAAGCTTGTCTCGTGCCGGGTGCCCATGCATTCTTGAGAAGTCTGAGCGTTGATTGCGGAACGCCCTCGATTGACCAAGGTCCCCTGAAATCAGCCAAGCCTTAAGTCGAAGGAGACCCTGGATGATTAACGGGTGAAATTATCAGTCCGGATCCTGGAGGAGAGAATCATACAATGTGAGAAGGCGGGGAAAGTCTATCGCCGTTTCCAACAGATGAGGGAACCATGGTTGTGACGGCCATGGGGGGTCACAAGTACCAACGTGCCCTGTTGGTGACGCAGTTGCAGAAGGCAACAGGGAATCGGTGCAAACTAGGGGAATGCATAGTTCGTCTCCATGGCCCAGCCTTGAGAGAAGCGTTCGTTGCTAGAGCCGTAGCCTCTGGTCTCCAGCTAAAAAAAAACGAGTGAGTTGAGCGTTCAAACGAGAGGCAAAAAGATCTATTCCCAGAGGCCCTCAAGTATCCGTAATTTTCTTGAATGTCAAGGGTCCAGACGTCAATCGCTGAAGTCCTTGTGATGTCTGGAATACCAGTCTGCTGTGGTGTTGGAGAGGCTGGGAATATATTCTGCTGTCACGGAGATGTTTTGCATAAGGCAAAATTGCCAGAAATCGCATGCCATGTTCACCAGAAATTTGGATTTCGACCTCCTAGATAGTTTTCTGTATCTGACTGTGGAAACATTGTCCATCTTCAATAGAATTGTGCATTGAGCATGAGTTGGAGATAGGCTGCACACAGCAAAGGACCTGGCCAGAAGTTCCAGGCAATTGATATGCAGCGTCACTTCTAGGTCTGACATCTGCCTCCTGTGGAGGTATCTCAACAATGCGCACCCCAACTGTGTAAGCTCACATCAGATTCTATGATCAGGCCTGGGGTTGTTATGAGGATAGCACGTCCATTCCAGGCTTCCATGTGGAGAAGCCACCAATGAAGCTCGTCTTTCGCCTCTTTGTCTAATGTCACCATGTTTTCGTAGGATGCCCCGCCTCTGAGGTAAGAAGCTTGTAACCATTGAAGAGCTCGGTAGTGGAGTGGGAGTGGGAATATGAAGATAAAAAATGGCGCGAAAACGCCACAAATGCAGTAAAACAATAATAGGAAGAAAAAACTGAGCGTATAAAACCGGAGACCATAATAATCCTCCCGGAGCCCCTAAAAATGGACTAAAGGGAACAGCAAGGGGGAAAACTTACCATACAAATTGTATTTATACAAAATATTAAGCATAACATATATTCAATATAAAGGAAAATTAATCACATGAAAAATAAATACATTAAAAAAAAAAAAAAATTGACACAAGTTATAGGTTTGTTTTTTTTTTTTTGTTTTTTTTTGTGTGTAATTTCCGGAGAAATGACAGCTACCCTTTCAGGTTTAGGATATGTTTTGGAAGCAGTTCTTTTCTCAATGGGTTAGATATAAGACTCCCCATGTTTGGTGTCAAATAAATCATCTGGATTCTCAGGGAGTGATTAGACCAGGTTACAGTGAGATCGGAAGGTTCTGTACAAAAATATATTTTATTGTATATTTTCAGGCAGGTTTAGGATGCATTTTATTTTATTTTTTTGTGCATCATAAAACTGTAATTTCTACAGCCCCTGCACCTCTTCAGAAAGGCAGGCCTAGCAACCTGAGATGAACTAAAAGTGTGTTTAGTATCTAATGAAACAAATTAAATTACAAACTTCCTTTTATCAGTATTCGAGAGCCAACTCAGAGTTGCATTGGATTAATGAATGTTTGGTGTAATTTGTCTGATATTTTTGTTAATTTTTGTTTTTAACTTGGAAATGATATTTATGTTTATAGTGTAACTGAGAGCAGAATACAGAAAGGAAAAGGAGTATAGAATATTTTGCGGCACACCAAACAATGCTAAAATAATCCAACTGTCCAGAGAAGAATTTACAATAGTAATAGGTGTATATTTATGTAATTTTCCTTTATTGAAGTATTGTATGTTAACAAAGTGGCTATGGTTCCAGGAGTCTAGCTGCACCTTCATACCTTCAAGCATTAAAGGGACACTATAGTCACCTGAACAACTACAGCTTAATATATTTGTTCAGGTGAAATCTAAAGCTACCTGCAAGCAATCTAATGTAAAAATACAGTGTTTACATTGATAGGAATACCTCCAGTGGCCGTCACTCAGACGGCCACCAGAGGGACTTCCTATCATTTAGGGCCCTAAAAAGGCCTTGTACACGTCAGACATATTAAGATATGTCTGACGTGTGCAGGAGAGAGAAGACACTGTGTGCGCGCCTTCTCCCTCCTGTCTGTCAGCAGAGGCGAGGGGGCGGGCAAAGACTTTCTATGTATCTATTGTATTTATGTATAGTCATGTGACCGCGGTCACATGGTAATGACGTCATTATGGCTCCAATTTTCACATTTTAAGCCATTTTTGCTGCCTATAAAATGTAACAAGCCAGGATTATTTGTCTACACTTGAAAAAGCCTATTTTGGGCGAAACGCGTTGTGCTTTTATGATCTTGTTATAATAAAAGTATTTTTAGACTACCTATATTTCTATGGTCAGTCCTCTTACTTTTATTTTTTGCTATTTTATCATGGCTGATTTTTTTATTATTTTAAAAGATACTACAAAGAAATCCTTAGGTTTTATTATTCCACTCACGCCTGGTTCATAGAGCAGTGTGGCTGCTCTATACACTGTAAGTACGTTTCGTTTTACCTTTTAGCACCAATTTTATTTGCTGAGAACACTATGGGCCCTCTTTTGTGCTTTTTTCTTTCATAAATCCTGCATTACATACATCACCAGAAGGATATCCTACATGTGGGGAGTTTAAATACCACTGTATGCTGTTTTACTCAGAGCTGGTTATAGCTCTTTTTATTGTAAGTTGGCACTCTTAGGACCTCAGTGTTTGTTTGTAGCTGTAGGTGTCATACGTTATTGCACCATTCGGTTTCTTCCTTTATTTTTATGTATTTTATATGCTAACACATACTTGAGACATTGAAAGAAGTATTGAAGAATCACCTATTGTCCAGCTATATCCTACATGTGGGGAGTTTCAAATACCACTGTATGCGGTTTTACCTAGAGCTGGGCATAGCTCTATTGATTGTGAGTTGGCATTTCTCTATTTCTGTGTTGTCGTGACACCATCTCCTAACGGTTTTGCACTATTGGTCCCTCTAGGTTTTTGCTTTTGTTTTTCATATTAACTACTGAGGACCCAATCAAGAACCAATCAAGAACCATAGAATACCTACCCAAGGTCCACCTTGTATTTTCAGAGACTCTTTTGTAAATATTATCTCTCATTTATTCCATTTAGCGCACCCTGTATTTTTGATGTTTCCTGTTCTCCAAAGACGACGAGCTGAGCTCAGGACTTCAGAGGGCGGCATGAAGCCGCGCATGCGCACAAGGGAAGCATCTGATTGCTTCCTGCTCGCACACGCCTATTTCGTCATTTTGACAAAATAGGGGGCGCGGCTTCACAAGGCTCTCGGTGCTGGAACCAGGTGAATAAACTACTCTGCCTGGAGAGTCCCTTTAAACCATTTTTTCACCAGTTTAATAAGGGCTTACCATGCAGGGAGCATTGTCTTAATGCCCCGAGTACAGAGCGAGTGTGTCTAATGATGCGCTTACACTATGCTTGTTGGGGACAGGACCCTGGTGTCTCCAAAAGAAGGATGACCTGGATAAAAGTCGAGACGGCGGGACTGGGCCGTCCGGCTATACTGTTTTAGGAACCTTTTATAAGCTTTAGTGTGTGCTGGGGGAGGGGGTGAATCTAAACGAAGATTATCTTCACATTTTTATTTATTTTTAATTTTGGTTTATTTTTCAAACTTTCATATCCATGTTTCCCATCATGTTCTTTTATGTAAGTGAATGAGTACTGTGTGTATGTATTTATGTAGATTCATATTCGTAAACAAAAGAGAAAAGTACACTTCACATTAAGTTTGTTTAAATGTAATGAATTTATTCCTGTATTTAACAAAAAAAACGAAACAATCTTTTCAATAACACAATACATTGTAAACATATTTCCAAAGCCCTTTATTTTATTTTACCCTACTGATGAAGCCATTCCTTTTTTATTTGGCTAAGGTTGTGATAAACAATGCAGCAGGGAACTTTGTTTCTCCTTCCGAAAGACTTTCTCCGAACGCCTGGAAAACCATAACAGACATTGTTCTTAATGGCACGGCTTACGTAACGCTCGAGGTTGGGAAGGAACTAATTAAGGCAGGAAAAGGTAAGACGCATATCGACCTTGATTTGACTTGACCTTTACCTACTGTGAAACAATTTCATAGCTTTCAGCTGCCATAAGACTTTTACACCAAATGTTTCTTACTCCAGTTTCACGAACATGCCTTCGTTACAGTAAATATAGCTCGTTTCCTACTTGCAAGAGCCATAACAATCCGTATACTGATTACTTTAATCTGACTTTAATTAAAGCCAACGTGTCATCTGATAAAATGTCACTGTCTCAGGAAAAACTTATACTGTATAATGTTATTATATTTGGATTGTTTCAATAGTTAAAAGAGAAACTGTGGTTGTAATGACTCTCTATTTTGAATTATAGCTTCCAGAGCAATCCAACTTTATACCACAAACAAGACGTTGTCTTTTAAAAAGGGGCATACAAATTATTATCATTATAGGAAAAAAAATGAGATTTAAAGGACCACTATAGGCACCCAGACCACTTCAGCTTAATGAATTGGTCTGGGTGCCAGGTCCACCTAGGATTAACAATTTCTGCTGTAAACATAGCAGTTTCAGAGAAACTGCTATGTTTACCTATGGGTTAATCCAGCCTCTAGTGGATGTCTCATTGACCGCCGCTAGAGGCGCTTCTCACTGTGATTTTCACAGTGAGAAGACGCCAGCGTCCGTAGGAAAGCATTGAGAATGCTTTCCTATGAGACTGGCTGAATGCGCACGCGGCTCTTGCCGCGCATGCGCATTCAGCCGATGACGGGGAAAAGAAGAGGAGAGTCTCCAGCGCCGGAGAAAGGTAAGTGTTTAACCCCTTCCTCTCCATCCAGCCCGGCGGGTGGGGGCACCCTCAGGGCACTATAGTGCCAGGAAAATGAGTATGTTTTCCTGGCACTATAGTGGTCCTTTAAATGTAAAGAAGGAGAGCGTGTAGACAATGAAGGGGAAGGGAGGGGAGTGGTGGGGTGTAACCAAAGTAGAATGCAGAGCTCCAAAACCAAGAGCCCAGTGATCTAATGAACTATTAACCAAGTTTGTCTATTCAAGCAGACCAGAGCTACCTGAATCTCTTAAAGGGACACTATAGGCACCCAGACCACTTCAGCTCATTGAAGTGGTCTGAGTATAGTGTCCCTATTGAGCTTCGTGCTTAAATGTCAAACACTGCAATGAGAAATTGTAGTGTTTAAATTGCAGCACTAAATCTGCTTCCAGTGGCTGTCTCCCAGACAGCGGCTTGAGGTGCTTCCTGGATCCTAACGGACGTTTGGTCTGGTAATGGACGCTGGACGTCCTCAAGCTCTGCACGAGGACATCAAGCATCAGGTTTTTCCCCATAGGAAAGCATTGATTCATCACGGAACATCGGAGGAGGCGGAGGCCCATCCCAGGGCCGAGGTACATTGGCGCTGAGGTAAAGTAAGTAAAGTGTTTTTAACCCTTTATTTACGTTGGTGGGGGGACGCAAGGGAGAGGGAGGCATAGCGCTATAGTGCCAGGAGTACAGCTTTGTATTCCTGCCACTTTTCCTTTAAGAAAGCCACAGACATGGCCTGGCTGCCATGGTGAATGGTCGCATGTAGACTGAGCGTTGTATGGAAATTCAAATTATATGACAAAAACGACTACATGCCATGCAGAATAAGCATGCTACAAATAGGTGGAACCCTGCACATGACTCTACCTTCCTCTGAATTTTATCACTTGCTCGGCAGCCTGAACCTGAAGTGTTTTTGTGGCCTACCTGTGGGTGAGGGATTTTTTTTAAATAGTGTTTAAAAAAAAAAAAAGTTTGTCTATAAGCATATTGTCTGCTAGCTCATGCTGAACAATTTGCATAGTTGGGAGCTTCCCCCAACTTTCATTTTGATGAAAACTTTAGTGGTTTAATGCATCATATAGATAACACTTTCAAAAAGAAAGGCAAAATATAAAATTAAAAATAAAAGGATATTTACCATCAAAGTTTCCTATAGAGTTACAGTTTAGGAAGCCTGCCTGTAGCTTCAAGCAGTCTTTCCATCATCTGGTTTTAAAAATAGTTTTTGATGCTATCAGTGCTTGCCCGCATATACAAAAAAAAACCTGTTTAAAGTATGACATCTCTAACTTGCCTTGGTTATAATATTATTAAAATGGTTAATGGCAGAAAGATGACAGACTTATAATAAAAATGTAGTGGTATGTTTGTTTGTAAAATTGTTTGTTGGCCATGTGAATGTGACCCTGGATCGCCTTCGTATGTCTGACATGGGCAAGGAGGAGAGAGTAACGGACAGGTGTGCATTTTGGAGAGGTGCACAATTTTTACTCTTCAGACTTTTGCAGGTGTAATCAAGTCAATAACTAGTGACTCAAACATCTTTAAAACTTTGAGGGGAAAAACATAATTTTGGCTGTTGCCATATGATCATTTTACGAGACAACAATCTTGAACCTGACAGATGCACAATAAATACCACGGAAAGTTTTTGCCTACCCTTTATAAATCTGATTTATTGCTCCGTGAGAGCACTATTTGAAATGGTATTGTAAGAGTAAGATCTCAAACTCATTTTAAGTGTTTTACAGATATCCTCCGGCGTATCTTGTAAAGTGTACATGGTTCAAGACTCGATTCATTGCGTTAGATTGAAGTGTCTTTTCCCCACCATAAATTTTTTGATTAGCTGAGTCATATTCCAAGCGTTCATAAAGGTATTAAATTTTCACTAGATATCCTTTAGGCTTGTATAGTTTAATTAAAATTGTTTTGATAAGTTAAGATTTTATTTTTATTTTTTATTAACTCATTAATATTTTAACCAGCAGAAGTTTATGGAATACAAAAAAGTCTCCAAAAGTGTTTGGCAGATATGTTGCAACGTGAGCACTTTTTATGCAGTCATGGTAAAAGGTTAATGGAACAGTCCAGATGCATGAAGCATTTCAGTTTGCTGTTTGGAATCTGTCTCATTTTTTTGACATTTCCTAAAAGTGGAAATTTTAGAAATTGGGGGCAGTAACCACCACAGAGCTAAGGAAAGTGTCGGTAACCTGCTTTCCCACTTTTCAATGAGCTGTAATACAGCTCATTGAGTAACGTTGGAAAGCAGCAATTACGTGCACACACTCATAACTCCTCGATGAGAAGCCTTTGGTTTGGTTTTTTTTTGTCTATCTTTGATTGTACATAGTACATTTTTTTTTTTTTTAATTTTTTTAATTGGAATAGAGTATTTCTGTAAGTAATTGTATTACCATCATGGTACAGGATGCCAGCCATTCACAAAAAGACAACAATACTTAAAGTTGCTCTGTCACAGGCATTTTTTTAAAAAGTGTGTGTGTGTGTGCATGTGTGCACGTGTGCACACGCACATACACAGAGTTTTTATTTTTATTTTGGCACAGATCCTTTGTTCTTCAGTTTTCAGTGCTGGATCCTCTTCCCATCTGCTGCCTTCTTAAAAGGCATAACAGTGGCATCCAGGCGATGCCTTCATCTGCCCTACCTTTCCCTTCCTCTCTAATATTACAAATGGCCACTCCCATGTACTTGGAGTACAAGAGTGATTGGTTGTGATATTACAGAGGATTGACTTAATGGAAAGGTGAACATTGTGGGAAAATTATACTTGACAAAGGAAGTGGACCTTGCTCCACACGTTGTCAAGTGTAGGAAAAAAAAAACGTAAGGCAAAGGAGTCCCAACTTTATCTTACATTTTAAAGAGAAATATTTTTGAAAAGAAGAACAGATTCAGAAAGAGAAAGTGAAGGGAAAACAATTGAAGAAGTTTGGAATGGTGCTTTCTCCAGGTGGAGTGCGAAACGCGTCCAGGGCGTCACCGTTTTCTGTGTGGGATTCATAGGTGGTCTCTCCCCTGAACAGTAGCTGTGGGTAGCTCATTCACTCCGTATTTATGAATTGTTTTTATTTTTCCTTTGGATACTGTTATTTTATACACTTGATACTATCTTGTACATATGATATTGGAATTACATCATCATACACAAGGACTGCTGTTTATAGTGTGATGCCATGTGTATTTATTTATATCACTTTTTTCAATAAATGTGCTACTTTTCCATTACCTTTTTTTTTGGAGTGTTTTGGCTTTACCTATGTTTGCGGACGTCTGTTTTATTTTTTTGTTTTTCTAGCTTATTACATTGCCTTATGTTTATTTGTTCTTTTAGGTGCAGCATTTCTGGGTATAACGACAATATATGCAGAGAGCGGTTCTGGTTTTGTTGTGCCCAGTGCCTCTGCTAAAGCTGGTGTTGATGCTCTTTACAAGTGAGTTGTACAGATTATACTACTGGTTGTAGTGGTATAATATGCAATCAGATTTCTATAAATTTCAGAGCAATGGTAGATCTCGAGGCAATTCAGAGAATACATTACCGAGCAAGTTAACTATATTTACTATCGTCTATATAAAAAAATATTATTTACCAAACTGTATCTGAGTTGATCCAGTTGAGATCTTTTTCTGGATTCTTGTCAGTCTAAATACACCTAAACGTATAACCAGTAGCTCTCAAATTGTTCCTAAGCTATCAGAATTAGAGGGTCGCTCAACCTTGGTACCATTACCACAAATAATACAAAGTTCAGGGTGAGCAATAATAATCACCAAAACACAGTGCAATATATTTATTACAGGACCTTCAAAATGCACCTTGACGAAGACCTGTAAGGTTGAAGTGTGTTGTACTTTTATCCTGGACTTTTAATCTGCTGTTTGTTGCTGCTAATTCCTGTATTTTTCAAGTAAATTTATTTTAACTTGCTTCAAGTCTCCCTACAAAATTTGAGGAGGAAGGAGCTACAGGATCAAAATTACATCACAGAAGCATTGCTCATTGAAAAGCCCACATAGCCAGAGCCTGCTATATGTGGCTCTGGGAAGTGTGAGTGACACATTACCACTACTTGTTTATCTTTCTGTGTGTTAAAACCGTATTATGTTATGTGAGCCTTTCTTGTTTTTACAGATTAATCAGGGGTGTACTATCAGGATTTTCCTGTCATAAGTATTTCTCACTGTGTGTTGGTGATTATTATTGTGCACCCTGAACTTTGTATTATTTGTGATATTGTGTATAGCAGTGGTAGTCAACCTTTTCCTACCTACCGCCCACTAATGCATTATTGTTGATGGAAAAACTTCCTTCCCGCCCACCAGTTAAGCACAAGTGCGGAATATTTTTTAGAAAGGAGGGTGTTTTAAAAATTTTTTACGTACATTTATCTTTTTATATCTATTTTATGCAATTTTATAATGTTTTTAACTTTATAAAGTTTAATGAAAAAACAATAAAGTAAATTGAAATTACCTTTACTAGTGATTAATGAGATCCTTGAGGTTGATGCTGCGACTGCGAGACTAAATATTTGATATCTGGTTCGCTTTACGTAAGGAACAAACGAAGGTCTCCTCTTTCGGTGATAGTCAGACGATTTCTGTGTTTGCTCATAATATGATTTCTCATCTGTGCGCCAGCTCCCCTCCTCTCCCTCCTCAATTCCCCTCCCCACTTTTTTATTTTTTTCCTTTTTCTATTTTTTAACCTTCCTTATAGCAATGCCCAGTAGGAAGGCTGAGCTAGGTAGCCCACTTACTATTACTTAGTATAGCCCACTATAACAGACAGGCACACACACAACACACTACACACATACATACATACAAACAAACAGAAAGGCATACATACATACAGACACACATACATACAAAGACACACACATAAGACATACATACAAAGACATATACACACATACATATAAAGACCACACACACACACACATATATACAGACATACATACAGACAAATACAGACAGACACGCACATACATACAAAGACACAAACACACAAACAAACACACACAAAATATTTTAGTCACCCTCCTGTTTCCTACCTTTTAGGTGCAGGAGGGTGACATTCCCTGTGGTCCAGTGGTGGCTCAGGTGGATGGGAGTCAGAGTTCCGATTCTGACTCCCTCTGCTTTCTCCCGTGCTGTCTGTGTGTTAGCTGGGAGGAGTGACGTGCAGTCACTTCCTCCCAGCTCCGTGTGATGTAATCACTGGGGGCCCGGTTGCGCTGTTAAAGCGCCCAGCGCTGACCGGGCCCCCTTACAATCCATAACCATCGGGTAGCCCTGACAGCATGGGCCACCTGATGAACTCCTTGGACGGCGGCCCCCCGGCAGTGTGCCGCGCGGACCAGGGCCACAAATGGTGATGGCAGAAACACGGTCGCAGGGGTACCGCTGGCTCGCACCCGCCCGCCCAATCTCTCAAAATGAGGAAATCCTACCGGCCACCTGGAATCCTGAAACGCCCACTAGTGGGCGTTAGGGACCAGGTTGACGACCGTGGTGTATAGTGTCTTGTGAGTGACACTAGGGTAGTTGCACTTGCACCTTTGTAATTGGTGCCAATCCATCAATTTTCAATCTTTTTCTCTGGATTGTTACATCTTGGTACCGTTACAGTGAGCTGTTGTATTTATGGTTCTCACAGATTCTGTAGGAGATGCCCCCCTAGTTTGTGGCATACTGTTTTTTTCTGTGTGATATTTGGGTAGTAATTAAGAAGGCTGAGAGTGCTATTAGCCCTGTAGACACAACTGACCATTTCTGTTGGACAGACTGATCTGTATGTTCTTCACTTGATTTGCGCCATAGACTCTGCAAGGAGTTGTTGTAGTTATGGTGCTAGAATCATGATTTTCTTAAATGGCCACTGGCTGCTTATGTATACAATTTAAATCCATAAATAAATAATGTTGTGGGCAGGTCCGAGGAAGGGTCTCAAGTTTTGATAGTTTGAAGGGAATGTGTGAAATCCTTAAAGGATCACTATAGTGTCAGGAAAACAAAGTGGTTTTGCTGACACTATAGTGCCCTGAGGGTTCCCCCACCCTCAGGGTCCCCCTCTCGTGGTGCTGAAGGGGTTAAAACCCCTTCAGTTACTTACTTTAATCTAGCGCCAGGCTCCCTCGGCGCTGGTGACCTCTCCTCCCCCGCCGACGTCAGCGGAGCCGAATGCGCATGCGCGGCAAGTGCCGCGCGCGCATTCAAAGTGTCCATAGGAAAGCATTTCTTAATGCTTTCCTATGGAGGCGAAATATGCCTCCAGCGTCGCAGATGCGCCTCTAGTGGCTGTCCGGAAGACAGCCACTAGAGGCTGGATTAACCCCAAATTTACACATAGCAGTTTCTCTGAAACTGCTATGTTTACATCTGAAGGGTTAAAACCTGAGGGACCTGGCACCCAGACCACTTCATTGAGCTGAAGTGGTCTGGGTGACTATAGTTTCCCTTTAAAATATCGTAACCTTCTAGGGCACACTCTAAGCACCATAGCCACTGCAATGCACTGAAGTGGCTATAGTGCAAGGAGTGCCCTGGCTCCCCACCCCCCAACGTAACTAACTTTTGGTACAACGCTCTATGGTGATTACGGTGCTTGGGGTGTTTAACCTTTTCCTTTTCTTTTTTTCTTCATGAGTTTTAATTTATCCATTGTTTCAGATCACTGGCGTCTGAATGGGGAAGATATGGCATGAGATTCAATGTGATACAGCCTGGTCCAATAAAGACAAAGGTATGCTCATATGTAGATACAAATTTGAAGTGAAAATAAAATTATTAATTGTTAAACACTTAAAAAATGTAAATGTTAATAAATGTTTTCCAACTAATAGGGTGCATTTAGTCGACTTGACCCGATGGGAGTTTTTGAAAAAGAAATGTTACAGAGGCTTCCATGTGGGCGCCTGGGATTGCCAGAGGAAATTGCCAACCTTGCCATATATCTCTGCAGTGACTACGCTAACTGGGTTTCAGGAGCAGTAAGTAATATTAAAATCATATTTTCCAGCCTATTTATCATTAACTGTGGACTTTTATCTTTCTACTCTTGGTGCTTGCCAACTTACTTAAAGGACCACTATAGTGCAAGGAAAACAAACTGGTTTTCCTGGCACTATAGTGCCCTGAGGGTGCCCCCACCCTCAGGGTCCCACTCCCGCCGGGCTGAAGGGGGAGGAAGGGGGTTAAACACTCACCTTTCCCCAGCACCGGGCTCCCTTGGCGCTGGGGACTCTCCTCCTCCTTCGGTCGTCATCAGCTGAATGTGCATGTGCGGCAAGAGCCGCGCGCGCATTCAGCCAGTCCATAGGAAAGCATTCTCAATGCTTTCCTATGGACGCTGGCGTCTTCTCACTGTGAAAATTACAGTAAGAAGTGCGGAAGAGCCTCTAGCGGCTGTCAATGAGACAGCAACTAGAGGCTGGATTAACCCATTTGTAAACATAGCAGTTTCCCTGAAACTGCTATGTTTACAGCAGACAGGGTTAATCCTAGAGGGACCTGGCACCCAGACCACTTAATTAAGCTGAAGTGGTCTGGGTGCCTATAGTGGTCCTTTAATATACCTACAATTGTATGTTTGCTTGTTTATTTTTTTTTTATTTTTTTTAAGCCACCATTCATGAGCAAACTGAATCATCATTCACTGAAATGTAAATTAATGAGAGAGTGTGTGTGTGTAACAAATTATTTAAAAGTGTGTGTGTGTTGTTTTTTTTAAATTTTTTTATTTATATGTTGAGGTTTTTTTTAACTCCCACTTATCGACATCATTGCATGGCCCAGTATTGACCTTACAGTCGTCACCTCTTAACCCCTGTACTATGGTATCACTAAATACTAACCCCTGCACTGCCTCAATGCTAACCATTAACAAATGTGAGGAAGGCTGAACTTGATGGACGCAAGTATCTTATCAGCTATGTAACTATGTAACCCATACATTACCCTAACTATACAATGTGTGTATGTATGTAAGTGTGAGCATTCAAGATTTTAATCTTTTGTCTCTTCTACAAAAAAAAACAAAAATATACAATCCTCACCCAATCAGGAATTATTTGGATCAGAGGGTGAGCTAAGCACTGCATTATCTCATTATCATTTTAACAAACTGAAGTTGTCTTCCCTCTTCCACTCCTTTACATTACTTTCTCATGGCATGCATATGCAAAACTTTGACCTCACATACTTGTTGGTTGGGTTGAGATTATAAAGGTGAAGGGGACTGAAAGAGAGGGTAAAGGGGTCGAGATAAAGAAGAGTAGAAGAAGGCCAGCTATAATTTTATTTTACTTGATTTTAGAAAGGTAACTGAAAAAAGAAAAAATTCTGTTAGTGGTCTGTTAGTAAGGAGTCCTTTATACTAGGGCCCCCTTATGGTTGTCTTCCGCTGTGCTAAAAAAATATTTTCATATCTATAAATTTATTATAAAATAGGGAGAAGTGCAAAACTACACGTTAACATAGGTGTAATGTGTATATTAATCTCACACCTTGGCTAATCATAGTATTGCAAATTGCATAAACCATTTGTAAACTGTCTGGAGAATGCATTTTGTTTTGTAAAATGGAGTTCATGCTGTGCCTAATCTGTGTCTTATTTTAAAATGCAAAGGAAGTGGCACATACCAATTAAAACAGTTTCCTTTATTCTGCCTTTAATTAGTTTTTTTTTTGTTTTGTTTTGTTTGTTTTTAAGTTGTCCTTAATAATAAAAGTCATCAGTTAAGAGCTTTTTGACTTGAACCACTTTAGACTCCAGCTGAACCTGTGCAGATTACATATTTGTGGTGTCTGCTTCTGGAGAGCTAATTGTTTATTTTGGATCTTTAGTCTAAATGTTTTGGAGTGTGTAGAGAAGCTGTGCAGGCTGATGTAACTTTAAACTGGTTTAGCAATGGTTATGTTCACTTTGTACCAGGAATAGCGAGTTTTCGTATTTTAAATACCGTACTGCCAGTTAGTTAATAAAATAGTTAGAACCCTGTTTTGACAGATGAATTTGAATAAGAAGTGCAGTTAAGCGTTGATTTCAAACTGACCTTTTCCAATTTGATTTCCATATAATTTAGCAATAAACTACAACTTGCTGTTAAGGAAATGCAATCCTTGGTTTAAATTCAAAGTAAAAAAATATATATATATATATATCTGTATGTAAAGATATCGAAATAAAAATATATAAAGCATGTCTGTCCGTCTATCATGCAAAGCAATGATTTTGTTCTAAAAAAGATTAATATTGAAATGTTTTGGTCAAGCATTCCTGAATCTTACCGATTGACAGGTAATAGTGAAATTAAGGTAGTAGCCACTGGCTATTTATGCAGTTTTGTAACAGCTGGAGAGCTATAGCTGTTTGTACCTTATTGCATATGTTGCCAGATAATAATGCATAACTGATCTTTGACAGAAGTGCTGATTAGTGTATTTTTTTTAACAGATCATTAGGATGGATGGTGGTGAATATGTGTTTATGGCAGGGGAGTTTAATAGCCTGCAAAAGGTAATGTATCATTTTATCTGCATTCTAAAAAATCTATTTTGAAACGATAATTACAGATTGCTGATGCTGTATTGCTAAAATACCAGTTATACATTGCCTTGTATGGCAAGGATCCAATTTGACTTTGTTTCAGGAGCGATGGTTCTTCGACCACTGTAGGATGGTATTCGATAGATTGTGGTGGAAATTAGGGATCGACCGATTATCGGTTTTACCAATATAATCGGCCGATATTCGGTATTTTCGGCAATATCGGTATCGGCCATTATAGATACCGATATTGCCGATTAATACCTCCTAGGACCACTGGGCTCATTAGGTCCTGGAGGGGCCCGCAGGTAGCATTTACTTACCTTTCCTGCAGCTCCTCCAGCTCCCCAGTGCAAATCTTGCGAGACCCGCGGCCGTCAGAGCGTTGCCACGGGTTACCATGGCAGCGCTCCGCACGGCACACAGACCGCAAGATTTACACTGGGGAGCTGGAGGAGCTGCAGGAAAGGTAAGTAAACTCTACCTGCGGGCCCCTCCACTACTCAGCCAATGCCACTGGACCACCAGGGACTGTCATATCCCCCCTCCCTGGCCAGGTAACAAGCAGGGAGGAGGAAAAAAATAAAAAATAAAACATATAAATATTAAAAATAAACATAAATATTAAAAATTAAAATAAAACAAACGTTAAAAATTACAATAAAAAATGCCTCCCTTCCCCCCCCCCATTTTACACAAATCACATCCCTTCAGGAAAACACACACACTATGCATTATATACACACACTACACACTGTATATAATGCGTAATGTAGTGTGTGTATAATGCACACACTACACGCTGCATTATATGTACACACACTGCACTCACTTTACGCACACTACACACACACTGCATTCCTTTTACATACCGCACACTACATAAACACACACACACTGTGCATTTATTATATACACACTACACAAACAGTCACTGCATTAACTATACACATTACACAAACAGTCACTTCATTAACTAGACACACTACAGTCACTGCATTAACTATACACACTACACAAACACACCCTGCATTCATTATATACACTACACAAATACACACAGCTCCACTGTATAAACACAATGCATCCAGTGAATGTGGCATGTATATTTTGTGCATTTACCTTTAGAAATATTATATTTTATAGTTTATTTTTTCAAAATGGTAAATGTACAGAATATCGGCTATCAGCCTAAAAGTAAACAGATTATCGCTATCGGCTCCAAAAAAAATCAATATCGGTCGATCCCTAGTGGAAATTGTCATATATAACAGAGTGGACTAGCAGAATCTAAAAGCTCTGTCTTTACCACTACCCAGGAGGTATTGGATGCCATTTAGTAATTAAGGCCCTGGCATATCAAATTGCGCATACAGCGGATTTAGGGAAAATCAAGCAGGTTCAAGGGGCCTATCCCGATAGCTGCGGTATGCCTGGTGACAATGTCTCACAGGACTCCCAGCATAACTTAATTTTCCTATAGAATACTTCTGTTCTCTATAAATCATTTTATCTGCTATTTTTGTGAACTATATTTTCAAATCTGTTTTCATATTTTACCTATACTGGTGGAGCTACAGAATAGTTAAATCTATAATATTTAATATATGTTTGTTAAAATGAGAGTGGCTTGCATATCTACTTTTCTTGGTTTATTATTTAAACTCCTTAAAGTAGAAAACTGAAATCTGAATTGAAAGTTTGAGGCTCAATTAAGTAAGCGGAGACCGTATTTTAGCATAGATTTTGGCATTTGCAGTGGTGAGTAACGTGTATGACTTTCTAGGAGAGCCCAACTTAAAATTATATTATATGAATGAAAATTTAGTTCTGCAAATCCTTTTACAAATTGTAGCTCACGTCTTACTTTCATATTTTATAGGTTACCAATGAACAGTGGGACATAATGGAAAAATTAATCAGGAAGACAAAAGGCTCCTAGAACTATTTCGGGTTCCATTGACATAACTTTTTGTAGTCGAGCACCTAAGGAACAATTATATATTTTGATTAGGAGTAGTATCCTAATGAATAATAATATAATTCTACAAAAATATGATTAGTAAATGCCACATAATTATGTATCATTTTTCAAATAATTTTTGCATATTAAAACATTCTGCACTTCAGTATTACTTATTATCTTTAAATAGATAAAGGAAGTTCCGTTCAAGCTCTGCATGTTCAGTTATACCCATCACCTTGACAATTGCATATTGAATTTAATTTAGAATGTATCTCCGGCTCTGTTAATTGATTGCTAGAACCCACAGCATCCTCTTGTGTGTGATGAAAGACCAGTTAATAGAACAGGAGTAAAGAACTTCTAAAGTAAACAAAGTATGCTGTAAAACGAAACCTTTTATTCATGGAAACGGTAAGTCTCAGCTATGGGATGTGTGGCTAGGGCTCTGTAAGCAAAGTAATTTAACTCAAACCATAAACAGCAAAGGATTGAGCAGTGAGATTGCAGTAGCATCATCTATACACCAAAACCACTTCATTAAGCTACAGTTGTTTACACCTGTTTAAAACTTGAAAATTCTACACAAGTTGTTGCAGTTTTATGGCCATTGGCATTGCAGGATACGATGTGAATGATATAAATTATAACAAAGTTCCATTCAAAAACCATTCTGATTTTGAATGTTGGCTTCATGAATGCGGTGTGGCATTATGAGCCTTTTTCTGTCAGAAAAAAACTAAGCATATATATTTTTTACAGGTAAGTACATAATTAACTTTATAACATTTTGACTTAAAACTTAATGTGTTTTATTACAAACATCTAGTGGAATATGGCTGCTGTTTTTTTTTTTTTTTTGTAGAAAAAAAGTAAGTATTTATGCCATGTTGAAAGCTCTGTAATTGTGTTTACCTTCAAAGCAAGCAAAACCATGTATTAGACACAAATGCTGGTTAGCCAGAAATGTTATTTTTTCTTCTCAGATTACTAGGTTATGTCCAGTTCACTGTGTAAAATCAATCTCTGCCTGCCTATATAATTTTAATGCTCAATTATTTCTATGAAGGACTCTTCTGATTGCATTATATAAAGACTGTATTTTTTTTTTTTTAGAGTCTAAAGTATATCATTTTTCTTGCTTGATATTCTTGCGTCATTTGCTGTGTGATGGCTTTCTCAAGATCAACTGACCATGAATAACCCGGCAGCATAAAATGTTTTTTTGTTGTTGTTTTTTTCCTTTAGGACAATGCAAGAATTTATTTTTTTTATCACAATTTCAGTAAGAATTGTTTGGTTTAAAATATAATTTTTTTTTTCAAACAGCCAGTTAATCAAAATACTTGTCATAGAAGTGTGTAACAAGAACAAAATAAATGCATTTTTACAGCTATATAGTGATTAAAGCTCCCCCCACATTGCAGGACATTTTGTTCCCCTGGGTAGCCCCATTTTTTTTGGCATAATAATGATCATGTAAGAAAATTATAGAAAACCAAAAGTAGGGACTATACTTCCTTATATAGAAATGCAGGTTGGAGCTTTTGTCAAGTTACACTATCTGTCAACTTTGTAATTGGCTATCCACATCATACTCCCCTCTTTCCAGTGTATAGTCACTTGCCTCACCTGTGCCCTAACACCCAAATGGTAAACACTGGCACGCAAAATTGTGTTGTTGTTTTTTTCACATTTTAATTTGTATTGAAAATGTGCAAAATGGCTATTACAACGCATGTAATTCACAAGAAGTCACCAAATTGGGAGTATGTAATAGTAACATAAATGGAGTGGCACCGAAATAACAAATTTGCTGAGTGCACCCTTCTGAACCCTTTCAACCCCACAAACATACAGGTTGACAGATGGTGTGAAGCATTGTGCCCCATCAACCTTGCAGTGCCAACACTGGGACTTGCCATCCTATACATCTGGGCCATACTACTAGGGACCAGCACATCAACAAATTGCACCTTCTCTTTCAGTGTCGTATGCTACAGAATACCTCTGCATTTGGGCCGCGGCCAATCTCTATTGCTCAAGTTAGAAGGCCTCCTTAATTAGGCTGTTCTCGTTTTATCATGTAGGGTAGCTTTGAGAGAGAGGTGATGCCAATCGGCAATAAATATATACAAATGCTAGGGGTTTGAGGGGCTTCAGTCTCCCATACAAAGCTTGTGGAATGTATTTTGTGATGTTTTATCAGTGCACAGTCCCCGTAATATTCTTTACACGGAGGTATGTGAACATGTCTTTCAAGGGCAAGTTAAATTCTCTCCGTATGATTGGGAGGCTTTTGGAATCAAAAAGCTGGGACCCCCTCTGAATTCCACCCTATTCCCACCTATCCATATTAAGGTCCAGGGAAAACACTGATAGGGCAGACAGGGGCACTTGTAGTAGTTTAGGGACAGGTAAGACTGTATATTCATGCCAAGTGGATAGGGAAAAGCCAGAGGTCTGAAGCAAGGTTATTCCTAAGCGCCCCAACAGCTGACTAACCGTGTATTTATTTATGTATGTATGCGTTTTCCAACATGAGCCACAGGGGCGTCTGTGAAGCTGATAATGTTGCTATCAGTTGGCAGATCGCTGTGGCTTTGTAGTATAGATTGATATGGGGAACACCCAGGCTCAATTTCTTGAGATGCAGTTTCATTGACCTGCACAACACCCAAGGAGGTTTATGTCTCCATATGAAGCTATTAGTATTTGCTGAAATTTATTGATTAAAGTGGTAGGAAAATGATAGGTGGCAACATCATTTTAATTGTGTTGACCCTGCCAGACCAGAACATTACAGTTCTGTAATAGAATGATCTGATTTGGACATTACAGACCAATGGCTTAAATGACCACTGTAGTGCCAGGAAAACATACTTGTTTTCCTGGCTCTATAGGGTCCTTGGGCCGCCCTCCCGCCGGGCTCTAGGGTGAGGAAGGGGCTAATCCCTTACCTTTTTTCCAGCGCCGGGCTCCCTCGGCGCTGGGGACTCTCCTCCTCCTTTCCCCGTCATCGGCTTAATGCGCATGCACGGCATGAGCTGCGCGCACATTCAGCCAGTCCATAGGAAAGAATTCTCAATGCTTTCCTATGGACGCTGGCGTCTTTTCACTGTGAAAATCACAGTGAGAAGCGCGGAAGCGCCTCTAGCGGCTGTCAATGAGAAAGCCACTAGAGGCTGGATTAACCCATTTGTAAACATAGCAGTTTCTATGTTTACAGCAGAAAGGGTTAATCCTAGATGGACCTGGCACCCAGACCACTTCATTAAGCTCAAGTGGTCTGGGTGCCTATAGTGGTCCTTTAAGGGATAAAATGAAGATATGGGGGGATAAAGGACAGCCTGCCTTGTGTTGTTCGAAATGGGGAACGGTTTGTATAAGAAACCTGTATTTGGGATTCCTGCTGAGGAGTTTGAGTGGAGGGCCAACACTCTTGATGAAAATGGGAAACCTTTTTTTTAACACTTCAATAATGTAAAGCCAATTAAGATTTTCATCATCTTACATCAATAGTACTCCTGGATATTAGTTTTATAGGCCATTTTCCGGATTTCAAGGAAGCACCTCGTATTGTCCCTAGGACAAAGTCTGCTTGTTGGCCAAAACTAGCGTGGGCAGAAGAGAGCTCGGTCGGTCAGTTTGGTATACATTTTTATGTCTGCGTTGAAATTGGTCTAGTTTGCACTTACCGTATATTGGATGGTTTACAAGGTTTTGGAAGTGTTATTATGTGGTCTTACAATAATTCAGAAGGAAACAATTCCGGAGGTCATAATACAATTAAAAAGTGAGATGGGGAGCTAGGATATTAAAGTATTTGATGTACTACAAATTTGAGGAACTGTTGTGTCCTGGTGTTTTGTTAGTCTTCATAATACCTTTCTGAGTTCCTCCTGCACTTATCTGTCCACTCCCACTGTTATTTAATTTAAAATCCCTCATCTAATGCCCACATGTGGGAACACAGGGACTATGTATCTATGCCACTGCACAGTCACTGGTTTTAGTAGATATGCTCCATCTGCTGCATTGTCTTATTTTTATTTTCTGTATACTACTCATTTTGCCATAAGCGAAAGCTGTAAAGCAACAGTAGTAAGGATAAGCCTCAACTTCCAATTTTAGTGTACAGTTAGTAACCGTGAGCTTTTATAAAATACCAGTTGATGTCTTTCATTTATAACCAAGTCAATTCACAACCAGGCGTACACGTCTCCATCTCTATTCCAAACTAACGTGTACCAAACCTTGTGCATGCTGCAAAATTTTATTCCCTTTACTGAAAACTAGCTCAACCACCACTACACAGTCATGTGTAAATGGGTATAGAATATATAAAGTATAAGCGTGTTTGTTAGAATCCCTGATAAAAATAGAATAATAAAGGGAAGAATGATAGAAAGATGCATTATCGGTCAAGGGAAATGGCCAAGCTTAATAAAATAATACTATGGATGCAGTATGATTAAGGAGAGAAACCATGTATTGGTGAAATTGTGAAACAGATTTTTTTTATGGTGTGAAGTTTGTCATCATCCAAGCAATTTGCTGAACATTGTAATTGTGTGAGTGCACAATTAATTGTAAGCGCTTGAAGATCCTCACAAATATGCTACTTACTGTCCTGTTCAATTAAATTTTTAAATTTTATTTTCTACTTTTCTTAGGTCACTGTTTCTAGTGTTTAACCCCTTAAGGACCAAACTTCTGGAATAAAAGGGAATCATGACATGTCACATATGCCGTGTGTCCTTAGGGGGTTAAGTTTTAGGGTATCCTCATGGATGAGACTAATCAAGGGGTAAGCAACCTAAGTCACTCCAGATGCCAATTACATTTCCCATAATGCTATTACTAGCAAAGCATCAGGGGAGATCTAGTCATCAACATCTAGTGCCAATGGTTGCCTATTCCTGGACGGGTCCCTGATCATGGAAAAACTAGCTAAAATATGTTTGTGGAGCTTCCTTGTGGGCAACGTAACTCTTGCAAAAAGTGAAAATGTTATCTTAATCAGTGAATATCTAACACATGCCTTATGGATAAATCCTGACATCTACATTTTAAAGAGCTTTGCAGTCTGTTAATTCATCCTACTAAATTTTCCTGATATATAGCCAGAGCCCTCCATATCTCCTACCCTAGCTATGGAGTTTTTTTATTTATTTTTTATTTGCCACTGTTTAAGGATACCTTTCATGCTCCTGTACATAACAGGGTAGTAAATAGTAATGTATTGCCCCTCATTGAACATTCCAGTTGTGTCTACCATTTTGAATAAACTGTTAGAAAATACTAAAAAAAGTGTGTGTGTATATATAATGTAGTTGTTCACTGCTATTAAGAAAATATTTTACCAAATAAACATCCTATGCATATTATGTACATCTAAAAAGCAATGAACAGATTTATAGCATTTAAGTAAAACTACATAGAAGATATTTGACGTAATCCATAAAAAATATAAAAAATTCAAACACAAAGCTGGGGTAGGCAGAAAAACATTGCTGTAGAAACATAAATGAAATAAACGTGATACCAGTGGTTTTAAGAAGAATGGATATGGATATGATGGCTCCATAATCTGCATGGGTCACCAACTGTCTTACTTATACCTATAGGTAAACCGTACATCTGCAATTCAGGAAAGAAAAACAAGAGAAATGGTTGTCTTGGAAACTGCAGAAAGTATTGTATATCTTTGTAGAATGAATGAAGAGACAGTAGGGATTATCAGTGTATTATAGAGGAACTGAGTCTTAAGAACAAAGTATTGTGCTACAAAGGAAGATTTAAGGCACAGCAGATAGTTATTACACGTAGCCGCACAGTTCATTCATTAAGGGCCATCATCCTTTTGAAGTAATATCCGAGATAATACTTGATTAAAGTAGTTTTGAAAAGAGATTTTTGGTTCTATGTTTAGAGCTGGAAATGGCACATTTGTATATCTCTATTCAATTCTTACAAGAAACTGTACATAGAAAAATATAGTTAGACTGCATGAGATTTGAGATTGCAAGATAGGCAGAAATATTAAATATATAAAAAGGCCAATTAGATAGCTTAGTGGGCTAATGCATCATCAATAGAATCTGTTCAATCTTTGGGTTGCAAGTTCAAATCGCAGCAGGCTTGTTTCAGCCCCATAGATAAAATGAGTACCATTCAACTGGATAATAGTAACAACCCCTGGATGTTGGGCTAAGGTATGTCCTTGAAAACCAGAATAATCTGAATGTACTTAAATACTTTATTATTATTTACAGGGTTATTTACTAAAGTGAGAAATGTCTGAAATTTTTTCAGTGAATTTGAAAAATAAGGCAAAAATAACTAAATTGGAAAAAATCGCAGATTCCACTATGCTTCCATTTTGCCTATTTTGTTCTAAAATTTGAAAGGTACTTTGAATTTTAGACATTTCTCTTTCAAGTGAATAACTGTTTGAAATAAGACAAAGGAGCTATCATATACACTTTTTTTTCAATTATATTTCGAACAAATAACAGACATAGCTTGTGTTATTATGCTATAATAGGCTAGCACAATAAAGGCCAGATACTGCTTTATTTAGCATTGCTATTGGATGACCGCAGAATATTTATCTTTAGAGGCAAAGGTACTCGGCTAGTTTTTTCACTCTAGACACTTCTTGGGATTTTGATATGCGATCCCTCTTTATTTAGTACTGTATATACTTTAGTTACTTTGTACTTGTTAGCACTTACTCTTCATACTTTTCCAGGTCACACTCACCCACATCTATTGGGCTAAGTGGGTATTGAATGCATATTTAGAGTTTAATCTAGGTTTAAGCTCTCAGGACACCCCTGGAGTGTCCAATTGGTGTACAGGTCTCAGGGACATTTTCCTTGATACCTGATTTATTATTTTCTTGTGGTAGTTTCAAATACTGTACACGCACACATGGAAAAATTAAGGTTATACATTTCTCAATTTCAGAATGTCAAAGAATACCCACTGCTCTACAGGATATGACTGCCAATGCTTCCCCTTATTAGACACCATTCAAAAGTAACCATCCACCCATCTCATAACGTAATGGCTAAATCTCATCAGCTTACTTCACTTCGTGTTGGATGTGAGACACACAAGCAGTTTTTTTTCAATTCATTATGTTGTGGAACTGCCCAACTGCAATATGTTTCTTGGTCCACATCCATGGTCTTATACAAATCCTTATTAGGAGGTCCATACCTTTTACCCAGCATAAATTGTTACTGAAACTCAATAAGAAAGGATTCTTATCTGCAATATTTCCCTGGCCACGACACGCATTATACCAAAGCATGACTACAACACGTTGCATGTAATAAAATAATGTTGGATGCTTTAAATGTAAGGTAGGAACATTTGTTAAACATTAGGCAATCACGCCAACTACTCTAGCAGGGCCTTGTGGGGAACCTTACCTGGTCTTCCCATTTTAGCATATGTATTTGTCAAGAGTGTCATATCTCCTGTAACTACACTGTACTGCTATTTTGGTGTATTTGCCTTGCCCTCTGTACCCTCTTTTTTTTTTACTTCCCCCAAATTTTTTCTCTCTTTATTCTTCCCCCTTCTTACATGGGAAAAAAAAAAAGTTCAATCAGACATCTAGTAAAGAAAAGCTTCTCATTTTAATTGCTGTTGGTGCAACATAAATAATAATAACATAACACAATATCACCACAATATATCATGAAAACAGGTTGCATTGTTTTGATAACCTGGTGGTTCTTCAGGTTTTCATGATCCTTATATGTACTTCGTATGTTGTACAATTGCAGGAACATTTGGAGGCTTCTGGACAGATTTAAGAGCTACTGTACGGTGGAAGTAAACATGGATCCATGCTCAAATGAATCAAGTTCTTTCAGTATAAAGTTGGGTCTCCTACTTTTTAGTTTCTCATTTCTCTGAATATTTCATGCACATGTGGCGATTAAACGCATTGCTAATTTTCAGTTGCAATAAGTATTGGGTAGAAGAGTTTCCACCAGGTGAAGAGTACCATGCTTGACGAGAACATTTTCTTCTATCTGTAAAGGAATAGTGAACTATGTGATTGCTGTAAATTCTGTAAAGAATTATAGGTGACTGAGTGATGTACTAGAGATCCTGTACCTTTAAATGGACATGTTCAAGGCAGTGGATGGTTCCTAGCTCATAAAGGGCATGCAAAATAGGGCAGGAAATCTAGCCAAAGAAATAAAAAACCTCTTTAAAAAGTGATTTTTTTTTTTTTTTTTTACTGAATATGATATTACTAATGTGGAAATAAAATGCCACATTTTTTATTCATACTGAAATAAATATCACAAATCGCTAATCCTTCCGCAACATTTGTCCTTTAAACCATATCTAATAATAGCCAGATGGAATATGACTATATATCCGGTTATTATTAGATATTTTTTAAAGGACAACTGTCACCATAATTTTTTAAAAATTATTATTATAAGAATCCTTGAAGCATGTAATGAAATGGTAGGCCATTTAAAAAAAAAAAATAATAATGTATTTGTAAAAATACCTAAAAATCTGTTCCCTACTTTCACAGAACACTAGATCCATCTGCCATATTAATCACCTTCGGTCGGACTGGGATAGAATCCGACTGTTAGGCTCCTGCTTCACTTGAAAATTGCATGTGAATGGTCATTTGCGATTCCGGTGCTGTAGACTGGTTTGGATGAGTTCGGAAAAAATGTGATTTTTCTCATCCGAACCAATGTTACAGAATCAGTCATATCGACCGAATTCTAACTATTTGGCTTTAATAAAGATGAGAATTGCCAGTGCATTTGGAATTCGGTCAGAATTTGAACCAGGCCAACCACACAGCGCGATGGCTTTGTGCAGGAGGAGGAACCTAAAGGTCGGATTGTACCTCAGAGGGATGGCAGAGGGATCTAGTGTTCTGTAATAGTAGAGGCCAGATTTTCAGGTATTTTTACATAAGCTTCATGTTTTAAAAAAAATCTCTTCATTACATGCAGCAAGCATTCTTTTTAAAAAAAAATAAATAAAGCTGTGACAGTTGTCCTTTAATACCCTTTTTGACTGAAAAGAATGGTATGCAAGCAAATGACATCATAAAAGCTATGGGAACATGGACGTGATGTCAGACATGTCACTTGTGCAGCCATTCATAATATTAGCAAACAATATGCCTTCTCAGTGCTGCCTCCAAATCTTTGTTTAAAAGACCACATATTGGAGGTATTGTTTTTTTTTTTTACTAGTATATTTTATTTTTCCCCATTTTTTTGTTTTGTTTTTTTTAATGTATAGCCAGTAACATTCGATGAAATGGGGGATGTGTCGCCTGCAATGTCCTTTCAATTCGTTTTTTTTTTTTTTCCTCCAAGTTTCATAAACTATAGTGTTGTTCTTTTATGACTAAGCGATTTTCTGGACATTTTTGAATTAGTATTGCTTGCTGCTGCAGAACTGTGTACAATTTAGATTTTATCTCCGAACCTCTGTTCTCCCATCTAGTCGTTAATAAAGTATGTCAGCAGTTTTTAGTTTCCATTATGCTTCGAGATGCAGTTGAATTATTTTCTTTTGAGAACACCTGGCTATATCATAAGGTGATCAGCAGGTTATCTTTCTGTCCAGTCTTTTTCTTCAGACCTCTAGAGTACCTTTCTGCATTTTACACTCTGCTCTCTCTATCAGCCTTCAATTTTTGTGTTTCCACATTACTGTATCTTCAATGAACACATTGGAGGATTACATGTATTTATTTTCTCATTGCAAAATATTGTTTTGCTATTAAATTTTATTGAAAATGACAGGGCTCTGTGAAGCTGTTTATTGGGACACATTTTACATTACAACCTAAAACAAGCAAATGGTTCAAGTTAAAGGGATACTATAGTTACCAAATCAACTATAGCTTAATGAAGCAGTTTTGGTGTATAGATCATGTCTCTGCAGTCTCGCTGCTCAATTCTCTGCCATTTAGGAGTTACATCAGTTTGTTTATGCAGCCCTAAGGCCACCTACTTGCATGTGACTTACACTGCCTTAATAAACACTTCCTGTAAAGAAAGATCTAATGTTTACACTTCCTTTATTGCAAATTATGTTTAATTTAGAATTTATAATCTGCCATGTTAATAGCCTGCTAGACCCTGCATTACTGAGTAGGAGATACTTTTTTTTTTTTTTTTTAAAGTTAACATCTGATTGAAAATGAAAACAAAAAATTCATGCAGGCTGTGTCAGTCACAGCCAGGGGAGGTGTAAATAGGGCTGCATAAACAGAAACAAAAGTGTTTTAACTCCTAAACTGAGTGAATTGAGCAGTCAAATTTCAGAGGAGGTATGCTCTATACTCAAAAACTGGTTTTATTAATCTAATGTTGCTTCGGTCACTATAGTACCTTGCTGTGCACTTTATATAAAATTCACGGGCAGTGTCTTTTGTTCCTTTTGTACATGTTTATTATTTCTCTGTATTTCCTGTACTATACAGCTCTGCAGAATATGTTAATGGTATATCAGTAAGAAATAATAATAAAAGGTGGGGGGATGAAAGAGTGTGTCTCCTCAGCATACTTGACTTAGTCAGCCTAGAACTGCCTAATGTCAATTCTGTGCATATTTTACATCTGTCGCCATTGCACCTGCAAGGGAAAGATCCCTTCTCTCTGCCTCTGTTAGCTCCCTCCCACCTGCATCCATTGCTTGTATTTTATTTTTTCTTTCAATTACATTTCCCTTCCTCTCTCCCTCACAAAATCCCTCTCTTCTCACTCCCTTCGCCAGCACAGATTGCGCGCATGTGCTCTAAGCCAGCAATACAGTCCAATCACAGGCTTCTCTACGAGACACCTATGATTGGAACGCACAAGGCCCCCTGTTGACATCAGATGGAGGAGTGAGGTCAGCTCTGGGAGCTCTAACTGGCACTTCATTACATGTAAATTTGAACTTTTTTTTTTCATTTTTAAAGGGGACCTAACAGCAAGGCCAAATAGGGCATTGTAAGCCTAAAAAGGCTAATTGTGACAAAGGGTTGGAGTAGCCCTTTAATTATCAGTGAAGCACATCTCTGGATAACAGTATACCAGGCCTGTATTGAACTTACTACTCTAAAAACATGTATAACGTGATTTGTTTAGGCTTGCATGAGTGTTCCTTTGGTTTGAGACAAGACTCAATGATATATAAAAAATAAGTAATAATACATATGGAAGAAAGAAATCAGCGCTAGATTGCCACACAAGAAAATAATAGTAATAAGGCTGCACTCCTCAAAGGGGAGTCCTATATAATCCCCTGGTGATAAGAAGAAATACAAAAACAGAACAGTAAAATAAGGTTGCACCTAAAATATATAAATCGAATATATAAAATATATAAAATTTTATATAAAATATATAGTTGGCAGTAGTCCAAAACACTTATCATAAGTCCGTAATGGTAGGTGCCACGTATGGAAACAGGGATTCTGAGATGTAAAGTGGAATCAATCTTCACGATTATGTGCTTGAGATCCAGTAGAACATATGTAGAAAAAAGACAGAGACAGGACTCCAATGGCACAGTATATAGATGAATAAAATAATATAATAAAATAAAAATAGTCTTACACTTTTCAGAGCTAAAACCTAGCTCTGATATTGCGCACGTGAAGTGGAATAATGTCCACTCAAGGATATGCGGAGTAATATTTGGTTGGCGAATATCTGGCTCAAATTCGGCGTCTGAATTAGTGTTCTTTGACCCAGGAAAAAAAAAATATATAGTGCTCTCGGTATAATAATTAAAAGTTGTAAAAGAGTATAAAATATACTACTCACATTATTTAGAGCAGGCTTGTACTGCTCGGTGTAAGCGCTTGGGTGGTATAATCCCCACCTATGGATTCTTTAGGCTTCTTGTAAAATTTGCTGTGTATATAGTCAGGTGAAAAAAAGAAAGAAAATGGCAATAAAGTATTTTATGCCAAAGTAATTTCTTTATTATAAAGTAGTAAAAATAGTATCTAAACAGTATCTAGATACTATTTTTACTACTTTATAATAAAGAAATTACTTTGGCATAAAATACTTTATTGCCATTTTCTTTCTTTTTTCACCTGACTATACACATACTGCAAATTTTACAAGAAGCCTAAAGAATCCATAGGTGGGGATTATACCACCCAAGCGCTTACACCGAGCAGTACAAGCCTGCTCTAAATAATGCGAGTAGTATATTTTATACTCTTTTACAACTTTTAATTACTATACAGAGAGCACTATATTTTATTTTTATTTTTTTTCCTGGGATGAATAACACTAATTCGGACGCGGAATTTGAGCCAGATATTCGCCAAAAAAATATTACTCCGCATATCCTTGAGTGGGGATTATTCCATTTCACGTGCGCAATATCAGAGCTAGGTTTTAGCTCTGAAAAGTGTGAGTAAGACTATTTTTAGTTTATTATATTATTTTATTCATCTATATACTGTGCCATTGGAGTCCTGTCTCTGTCTTTTTTCTACATATGTTCTACTGGATCTCAAGCACATAATCGTGAAGATTGACTCCACTTTACATCTCAGAATCCCTGTTTCCATACGTGGCACCTACCATTACGGACTTATGATAAGTGTTTTGGACTACTGCCAACTATTTATTTTATATAAAATTTTATATATTTTATATGTTCTATTATATATTTTAGGCGCAACCTTATTTTACTGTTCTGTTTTTGTATTTTTTCTAATAATACATATGCACTAGAATATAATTATGATTATGGTGATTTCTGATGATTATTTTCCAACAAGATAGACTAATGGAAAAATGGCTCATATTTCGAAGCGATACATTGCAGCAGCACATAGCTTGAAGGTTATTTGAATACATGAATCATCTCAAGGTAAGTGGTATGAGTCAGACAGGTGATTTAAAGTCCTACTTCTGACTTTTAATAAAGGGTTTTATTTTGATTGGCTACCTTTGCAAGCAGATTACCTCTTTATGTTTTTTCCATGCTAAACTATGGAAACATTTATTCAAGCATCCCTGAACAATCAATGGTGAAAAAAAGAACTTAAGAAACTCTATGCAATATTCTCTACAACTGCAATAAAATCGGACATTGATGTCATATTGTTTGAAAGGCTGAAAAATTAGAAACACAATGGAAAACAACATATTTGATAAAAGTCAAATGTTTTTGTTACTATGCAAAATATATATATATATATATATTTATTTATTTATTTTAATTCTTAATTTTTTCGTGCATAGATGGTACAGGTAACATTTAGGCTAGTAATGCCACAACAGCTATTCCCAGAATTCAATAGACAAAGAAATACAATTTCATGGCATGAGTAACTGTACACATTTGTAAAGTAGAAAACGAGAAACGGTAGTGTGACGTTTGCTTGAAATATAGCAGTAAAACATTAAGATGCGTTGAGGCAGGCGTGGGCAGGAAGGTCAGCTCTTTGGTCGGGTTTGGGGTCCCCTCCGTCATCTCAGGCTGAAGTCACAATCTTGTAAGGGGTCTCATGCGTGGTTTCTTTGGAGCCATCTTGCGTCTGGGTAGAGTGCAGAGCTTGATCCGCCACATTGAATCCTTCGACGTTGGTGGAGCTGAGGTTTGAGAGGGGGACTCCGCGGCAAGCAGCAAGTACCTTTTTGGGGAGTGGCAGGGTAAAGCATCTGACATTCTAGTAGCTGACAAAAGTCAGAGAAGTGGCGGTCCAACCTGGAGATGATGTCAGCTCGATCATCTCTGGAACCTGGAGACCACGCGGTATCCACCATGTTGGGTAAGGCACTGCTTTCCCCAGTCTTGCATAGTGTCCCTGCTTGAGTTGGGTGGTCCCCCTGGTGTGGACCGGGATCACCACCCCGGCCCAGAGGAGAGGGCGTAACGGGGAACTGGTGCATGACTGACCATGGTCCAGGAGTTCGGCCGCCACTCCCGCCCGGCGCTCTCTAGGCCGCATCCACCACGGATGCGTAGTCTCCATGAATGTATTTTCTTAAATTTAAAAGTAACCTCAGATCTCGATATCAGGCAAGATTTTTTTGAGTTCATTATTAGCTGTATCTGAGTATAATGTATATTTGTGAGTGTGCACTTAACCCTAGAAGTAGTCGTAGTACTTGAGTTTAAAATATATTCCACTACCTGTGGTCTTTCTTCATTTTTTTTTTTTTTTGCACAATCTTTTCCCTGATGTGTTTGGATATTTAACAATTCTTAACAGGAGACCCACAGGATTTCTTTTTTTTTTTTACTATCTTCATGACAAAAACCACATATTGTTTTTTTATATTGATAGCTGCATTGCCCACTACTGGATACAAATGCACAAATTCCAAACATTGGAATCAGATGCTCCTGGAGGTTATATGACCAGATGGATTTAAAAAAAAAAAAACTCAGTGATTGGACAGCTTCTTACCTCTGGTAAACCTTATATGTGATGGTATAAATACTGTAAAATTGACCTGGGATTTTGTTATCACAGAGATCACTTACCAAAATGTGATGTTCACATGAATTCTTTTTACCAACTTGTTTGTCAGCCTTTAAAATTGTGTAATATGAAGCATTTTGTAAAAGGACCTATTTCTTTGAGCCAAAGAAAACCTAACTTTTATTACCTGAAAAAAAAAACTGTGTCAAGAAAGTAACAAAGACCAATATAATTGCCAGCAGTTATTATGCAAATTCTATTTTCTGTAAACAACAGAATCTATTCACTGTGATTACTAAAGGCTAATTACATTTCATGGAAGGGCCTGATTATGAATTAAAAACATGAACTTTTTTAAAATCTACTTTGTATGTTTATGAGTTTAGCTTCCCGGGGAAGATTGTTCACTTAAATCTATTGGTTAGATACAGTACATTAAATGTTATACTGACTTTTAACTATTTGTATGTCGAAGGGACGAGCAACACATTTTCAAACAGTTGAACCATTTAGCTTTGGCAACAATAATACTTGATTGTGTCTTAAACCAATATCTCTACCATGCCGGTTGGTCTGTTTAAAAATTTCCTGTCTATTAATGCTCCTCTGTTGTAAAGTTTCTTTGACATCTTACATCCCATGTACAGATACTGCTTGGTTAAAAAGTAGCTCAAGGAGGTGAAATCACCACTGGGGGTTGGTGGCAAGGGAAGGTAAATTATTTGCCTAATAGAAACGAAAAATTCAAAAAGCTCTCGCGCAAAATAGTTTTTGAGCGTGAACGTTTAGCTGGAGAAATAGTTAACAATGTTAAAAATGCACTTAACAAAATAGTAAAGAGAGCAGGTGTTTATTATCAAAGCCTGTTGGCTAAACCTCTGACTGATATATGGAAACCATGAGAGTAGTACCCTTTCAATATCTGGCTTTATTAATTTATTTGTCAATGTAGGGGATTATCTAAATATCAGGGTACCATATTAAGTAGTGCAAATTATCGCACTGTTAAGATGCAGGTTAGGTGAGATGGTTTGGTATGTTAACAGTCTCTTATATGTGGGGACCTTCCATTAGAATATTCTGGTAAGTATGATCATGGGCTGCAGTTATATAAACACATCTAAACAAGAATAGGAACTGTTAATAGATCTGTAACAAATTAAATTAAAGATGGACCTAGTATACCTTTTAACACTTCTCAGGGTTAAGTAGTTAAATTAAATAGGATAATAAGAATGGTCACATCAAAAATATGCAGATATTAAACTTAAAATGTTCCTTGTTAGTCTCTATATATGTGTTGCTAAATGTAGCAATTAGGCATCTTCTTTTCTCTTTGGCACAGTGCACCATACACCTATTCACAATGGTGTTGCATATCATGCAGTCTTAAACATGATATTATTTTTTTAGCGCTTCACTTTTCTTTTTATTCCTCCTCTGACTTTTGAGCACGTTTAAAAGGGAGAGAGGCTTGTCTTTTACCTATACTACTCTGTCTACCATAACAACATTAGGTCATTATGCTGCAGCATTTAGCAACTATATATTTGCCGCAATTGATACATTGGCAGCTGTCAGCTGTATTAGAGCTTACCCCTACAGTGCATACTGATAGGCTGTTGAGCTAGCTCTGTACTCTATGACTTAGCTCATGAGAGTTAACCAAAGCTTCTGGCTCTCTAGCTGAAGTAGTAGAGGTCTGGAGCAGTGCCCAGCAGACCCCAGGCAAGAGTCAAGTTCTTACAATTGAGGGGTACCAAGGCTCTCCTGGCACCATAACCACTATAGGTCACTGTAGTGTTTATGGTGCTTGGAATGGTCCATGTCCAGTAGTAAGGTGTCATGTCATGGTCTCTGTTTGCCAAATAATGAATTCATGATTCTGACTGAATTACTGGTTATGATATGACTAGTTTGTCTGTGGTTTCTGTTCTGTGGTGTCCTGACCTCGACCCCTATCTTCTTACTTGATCTGTGATGTCGCCAAAATGGTTGGATGGTTGAAATAAGTCTGGACGAAATTCAGATCACCCTAAATTTTTTCTGATGATTTGATTCAGCCGAACCAAATAGTTTCACCATACTCAAGTCTAATAAATAGTTTAAAGGTAATATAACCCATCATAAAGTATTGGAGTTTATTCACTAAATAATGGTTGGCAGTCAATTGGAACTGAAACATTTAGGATTAAAGGGATACTATAGGCATCAAAATAACTTAAACGTATTCCTGACCCTATACTGTTAAAACCACCATCAAGCACCCCCTGGCCACCTCTTGCCTCCCTAAATATAGTAAAATTTTACTTGTATTCAAGTCTGCAGCTGCTGCCTCCGCCCCTGACCTGCCTGCTGACATCAGAAGTGGTGGTCTGAGCCAATCACAATGCTTCCCCCCTCAGACTGACAAGGAGGCAGATCAGGGACAGAGTCAGCACAAGTCAAACACAGCCCTGGCCAATCAGCATCTCCTCATAGAGATGCATTGAATCAATGCATCTCTATTAGGAAAGTTCAGTGTCTGCATGCAGAGGGTGTAGAAATGAATCAATGCATCTCTATGAGGAAAGTTCAATGTCTGCCCCAGGAAGCACCTCTAGTAGCCATCGGAGGAGTGGCCAGTAAAGTTATCACTAGCCTTTAATGTAATCACTGCATTTTCTCAGAAAAGACAGTATTTACAGCAAAAAGCCTGAAGGTAATGATTCTACTCACCAGAACAAATACAATAAGCTGTAGTTGTTCTGGTGACTATATTGTCCCTTTAATGAAGCAGTTTTGGTGGATAGATCATGCCTCTACAGTCTCACTGCTCAATTCTCTGCCATTTAGGAGTTAAATCACTTTTGTTTCTGTCCTTAAAGCCCTAGTCGCACCTCAACCAACCAAACAGTCCGCACTCATAAGGATCTCAGGATAATCCACAAGGTAGTGCATACTATATTTTAGAAAAAATTGTGAACATTCCTAAAAAATATATGCAGACCTCATAAGAGACAGGCAATCCAAAATCGTACAACACATTATTATTATTATTTTATTTTTTATATAGCGCCATCAAATTGCGTAGTACTGTAAATAGGGGTTGAGGGCCCTTCTCAATGAGCTTACATGCTAGAGGGAGTGGGGTATAGTGACACAAAGGGTATAAGTAGGGGTAATGAAATAGATTGCTAGAATAGTAATCACTGAGAACTTAGTCAGGGGGGGATAAAAAACAGTTTAAATGATATGCTTTCCTTAAGAGGTGTGTTTTCAACACACGTCAATTAATGTAGACTCTTTCTCTCTCTGGAGAGTCAAAGGTTTGAAAAAATAAAAAAAATACAATAATGCAAAAATACAAAAAAGGAAATACTTGCAACTGCCAGAAGGGGGGAAAGAAAAATATTTTTTAAAAAATCACAGTAAGTTTGGGCGCTTTTCACGTCTGTTCTGACACTTTATCAACATGTTGTGATGTGATTAAAATGGAATTGGCAAATGGTTCCAAATCAGGTATTTGTCCCTAAAGGTTTTAATGTAATTTTACTTCTCTACAATGCAGTGTTTAGTGAATAAATCTCAATGTCTGGGTAAAAGTCAGAATCCAGGTATAGATAGACTAACCTAATCCTTTTTTATTTTGTAACTATTTCTTCTTGTGAAGCAAACAGTCTGATCAAATGAAGGGAAACATCTAATTCAGACACGCTTAAACAGTCGAATCCAAAAGTGTTTGAAAAATAAGGAAGGAAATTGAATTTCCAAATGGATCAGTAAGTAGGTATTAGAAAGATGTAATGGATTTCAACAGCATACTGATTTCTACACATACAGCATCTTCTCCAAACTACAGAGATCGCTGTGTTTTGTCTGTGAAATAATATGAATAGATAAAAAGAGGTGGGCTGCATGTAATATCCTACATCAATTTCCCAAGTGGAATTAAATAACTTAAAGCTTCTGAAAGGTTTAACGAGATGACTAAAGAGGAACTGACATCAGTGAAAAGGTAACTTTTTCTACATAAAAAGTACGCGTAAGCTCTTCACAGGCAAGCAATTGAATTAAAAACCAATTATATTATATGATAACTTAAAATTGCCTCATCCACAACAAACAAACTTTCACTGAACAATATACTGGGATGAAGGGTGAATCAGTGGTTAGCAGAAAACACATCCTTTCAACTCCAGCTGTCTTATTCCTAAAAC